AGGGGCAACGTGGCGCCGGCGGTGCCCTTCCTCCCTTTCGGTTGGATCCTGGAATTCACAGGGCACACCGGAGCATCGGGTTCCTCCTGTGTCCACGGCTGCAATCTCACACACCCACCATCAGGGAGGGGCTGGTTGGGCCCTGGACGGCGGTGCAGGCCCTGGGCACCCTGGCCTGCGACCCCGGAGCGGAGAACGCCGCGCGCGCCGTGGCCCTGCTGGGGTCGCTGGTGGCCCGCCACGCCGCCTACGTCGGCGCCGAGCGCCTGGTGCAGGGCATCCAGGCCGCTCCCGCTTTCCTTGCTACCGCGGACGCCGGGCACGGGGTGAGGGCAGGGCTCGGGGGTGGATGGGGAGCGAGGGCCTGGTTTGTGCAGGGCTGGGGCCTGAGGCCCCTGAACGTGCCGGCCTGTGACAGGGCAGAGTGTGCATCTTGCAGAGGGCCGAAAGGCATGGGCGCCGAATGCCAGAGGACACCCTGCGACCATCCCCCTCCGTCCTCGGGGCACCCTGCGGCAGGTGCGCCTCCTGGAGAGGAGCGGCGTCTTTGCCTCGCTGACTGAGCTGTACGAGCTGGCCATCCGACCCCACCCCAAGCTCTGCACCGATTTTTTCAAGGTGGGGGAGCTCTGGCACAGGGCCGGGATCGGAGGGTCGGAGATCAGGCGCACGAAGAGGCCTCCCCTTCTCCTGTCGTGTTCCCATGTCTTGGGGTAGCATTCCCTCGACACCAAGTCACACAACCCCCCCTCCCCTTGGGAATGTAGGTGGCGGTGCGCCGCTTCCGGACGGCTGCCAGCGTCCCATGCGTACCGCCGCCCGACGCTGCCGCTCCCCCTGCCTCAACCGGCCACACATCGGAACTGCCCTTCCTCGCCCTCACGCTCGCCCACCTGCGGCTGCGGAGGGGGGACGAGGCCTGTGCGCTGCTGGCAGAGGTATCCGGCGTGCTCTCTGCCCGCGGTGAGGAGGCGGCCTGGGAGCTGCGGGAGGCCCTGGCGCGGGGATCACAGGACCCGGGCGGTCCCACGCCCAGCACCGCGCCCTTGCTCGCCCTGGCCCTCCTGCTCCGGCTGAAGAACTACCTGCAGGGCGCCTACGCCATCAGCGACGACCGCATCGCCGCCTACGCCTCGTCTGGTGATGGACGTGCATTGTCGGACGCCGTGGCTTCCTGCATGCCCGGCAACGGCGAGGGAGGGCCGTCTGGGACCTGGGACGCACTCCCTGGCCAGGGATGCCACCCTGCAGCTGCCGATGCTGCTCGCTGCCCAGGGAGGAAAGCGTGTGCCACAACCCCACTCCCTACTTCCAGGTGAGCGGAGGAGGCAGGAGGAGAGGATCCAGGTATCCCCCAGCTGCGCGCCGGACGCTCGAGCGCTCGCGCCCGAGCACTTTGGAGACATGGCGTCGGGACAGGCGCAGGATCCGGCCGCTGCCTTGCAGGTGAGGGGATGCAATGGTGGGGAGTGGGCTGAGGGGGCCCAGCCATATCATTCCCCCGGGGGGGCCACCTCCAAGTCTTCAATGTCTACCGCACAGGCATTTGAGGAGGCGCTGGGGGAGGATGGTGCCCCTGTCATTCAGGCGAGCACCCCCGCAGAGCACGGCACTGGGCAGAAGACAGCGGGCGGCGTCAACAAGCGGAGGAGGACCGGCATGGGCGGGGTCGGCAAAGGGAAAGAGAATCACACCCCTTCCCCTGGAGACAGCACAGGTGAGCATGGGGAGGTGGTGGGTGTGGAGAGCCAAGAGCTGGTATCACAAACTCTCCACGGTCGATGAACTCCTGTAGCTTGTTGCTCACTCGAGATCCTCTGATGCAGATTCAAGGAGCACTCGCGTTTTAACCTGTTCTGGTGTCGTGCCTGCACATCCTGTTCTCCCCTCCTCCCAACCTCGCAGAGGATGTCGATGCTGAGCCAATGAGCACGCGGGGCAAGAGCAGGGGGGCGAGGGGCGCCAGCATCACGCCCCAGACCACTGTCCTCCGCACGAGCTCCCGGATCAAGCGGTCCCTGGCAAGGGTGGGTGGTCTGGAGCCTGGTGCCAGTGCCACTAGAATGGGCGTCCAAACTCCTAGTCATTGGCCCCTCACCAGCATCACGCAGTCAGCACCCGACCAATCCCTCCATTATTGGCACAGGTCGCCACCGCGCAGGCCTCAGATCCTGAGTCAGAGGGTGAGGGTGGGGATGCCACCGATGGGGATGACGACTGGAGCCCCGGGGCCGACCAGACTCGTAAGAAGCTGAGGCTGTGAGGCACCAGCACCATCTGGTTTCTTCATGTCCCTCTCGCTCATGGACTTTTCAACGAATATCTCTCAGACCCAACTACACACCGTGCCTCCTGCTACCCTTCCGCCTGCGATGCGGCTCTTCCAGGGCCAGAGGAGCCCTGCGCATGCTGAGCACTCTGTATCAACCTGACGATTCTGTGCATGACTTGCACCCTGTACCAGCCAAGGGACCTGGTGAGGCCACCTGCTTCCAAGCTTGCTGTAAGAATTCTACATAACAAGGGTGTTGGGGCTTGAAAATACGCACTGACAGTCTAAAAGCACATATCAGTCCAACTGCATGGCATCAGCAGGTATCCTCTTAGCCTTCTTCTTCTTCTTTGCTGGCGACTTTCTCCTGACCACCGGCTCCTCGTCAACTGCCATCTCCTTCATTGCCTGCTCTGCCGCCAACACCTCCCGCACCTTCTGCCTGCTCTCTGCATCCCTGAGATGGATAAAGTGCGGGTCGACAAGGTCAGCAATTCCCCAGCGGTGTCCACTATACACATGCGAGCGCATAGACATATACATCTTAGGGGTGAGAGCCTACCGCAGCAACATACTCTGCAATACTGCCCAGTCTTGTGCACTCACTTGATCTTGATGCCGCGGATGGTGCGGTTGCGCTTGATGCGGACGCCCTTGAACTTGCTCTTCTTGGCGATGGCCTTGCCCTCCACAGGTGCCTTCTGTGCCTTTGTCACAACCTTCTCCTTCTTCTTCTCCCGCTTCTCGCGTTCGGCTTTCTCACCTGCAAGTGTGCATGGAGTGGAAAGGCAGTGCTTGACCTTGCACTTTTGCTCGGCTGATACTATAGCGCACACACCGTGTGCCACCGTTACTTGAATTGTGGCACAGCAATCTTAAGGTACACAGCAGCATCATGAGGTCATCATCAGGACCCTCTTATATGCAAAAGGTCTACCATTTGACCTAAACATACGTTCTAGCGCAAACTTGTGCGCGTTTTGTCTGGTCGTCAAGTTGTTCTTCTTGGACATCCCGGTATAGCCTTGTGCTGAGGCTGGCTTATCTGGTCTACTGTGCAGTTTCGTCTGACTTATTACTGTAGTATAGTAACTTAAGGAGACGGTGATTTACTATTCGTCGGTGACTTGCAAATACAGAGCGAGCACTTCTTGCGCGCTCGCTGAAAAGCATGCTGGGGCCGGGGAGTGTATCGTCAACTCGACGGCTCCCAGGGCATTCTTCTCAATATGCACCACTGCGAATCGACTGACACCGCCTCGAATGGTGATTTCCCAGTCTAGCACCAGTGTGTCTGATGATCTTGTCATACAGACTCCTTTTGCCTTCCTTGCGCACAAATACTTGAGTAGCAAGTACGACATGCCGTTTCAATAAAAAAAACAAAATATCCTGCAACAGGTCACAGCTTTAATCATCAGTACCCAGCTGCCATGGCACATGTATATAAGCCTGTACATTTAACAGAGTGCTTTGAAAAGGACCCCTGAGGACATTTAGAGGCTGGGCCCAGCATATCACCCATACCATCGCCAAGACTTGCAAACCGCTGAGCTCTAGTTGTGCATTCCAAAGGTGTCCACGAGCAATAAATGTAGTGGCGGACAATCCCAGACACTTGTGATCAAGGTATATGCCTGCCCATTGGTTGCGCGCCCTGCAGTCGTCGTTTCGGATTTAAATGCGTCCATCTCCATCATGGAGTATGTTACCACAACTCAATTCTGGCCAAACCCTCCTCCCGAAAGTGCCTGCCTATCTAGAAATCTGCCATCATGACAAAATCAAGTCCCGCAGCGAGGGGGGCGGAAGGAGTGGACACCACGGCGGAGCTCGTGGGACGGGCACTGGAGGTGAGGTCGTGCAGCGAAGGGAAATAGTACTTGCGAATTTGCTCCAAACAGATTCACATGTACCGAGTTAGATAACTTACACGCACCGTGTAGATCCCGGCATGGGTGTTTCCTCGGGATAAGCTTCCCAAAGGCAAGACAGCCTGGTCGGCCTCCGTGACTGGCATCTCCATCCCAGACCCAAACAGCGTGTTTGTCCGCATCAAAGGTGATCTGGTGGACCGGGAGGTAAACTCCATGTGCAGCCCCTGCATGTAGGGGTGCTTGCGTGAAATGGTGGGGCAACTGGTCCATGCAAAAATGCTCCCAGCGTCCAGCAGGGATCCTGCCGAGGCTTCTTCGACGTGCCGCTGCCAGGGCAGGCTTCCCACTCTCAGTTCTCCCTGCACCACGCCTGCAGACTCTCCGGATGAGTTCTTCTTCCCCATGGAGGAGGTGCAGAAGTGGCTGACCCCCGTGAGCCCCGACGCGGCACACAGTGTCCTGCGGCGCAGCACCCGCAGCCGGCAGAGCACGCGGCGCACAGCGGCCGAGTCGGCGCGGGCCCTGGCCGCCACCGCCAGCGTCGGGGGGCGCAAGCGCCGCAGCGCACTCGCGCCGGCCGAGCCGCGCGTCGCCGACGACGAGCGGGAGGATGGAGCGGATGCCCGGTCGCAGAGTGCCGAGGTGGAGCCGGCGGCGGCCGCGGCAGACCCCGAGGAGGAGGGAGAGGGCGAGGGAGGCGCCGCAGGGCCCCCGGGCAAGCGCCGGGCCCTCGAGGGTAGGACCGGTTGGGCCCCGGTGCTGAAGAGCGTGGGGGCGGAAGCAGCGCTGGGAGTGGTGTCCTCCATGGCAGCCTACGCTGTGGCGGTGATGTTGCACCAGGCTGCCTGAGGAGGGGTCTTAGGAAAGGGGGAGTCAAGTTGCAGACTGGAGAGTGCTCACTCACCACTGACAGACCAGACGATGCACTGCACAAACTGTGACTCGGATTACAAACAAGTGCCTGTGATGAGGGTTGCAGGCAGAGGAGGTCTTCACCGGATGCATTCTGTGCACCTGGAATCAGTGGGGGTGACCAACGTGCATGTGCGTTTGGGCTGGGGGGGTTGTGGCCGAGGGTAGATTCCTTCCTGGGGATATGGATTCACGCAGCGAAGACTTTGAAAGGTCTCGCATTCACCCTGCTGTCGGCGGCGGCCTCTGCCACAAGCAGGCCGGGGGACGAGGATCACAGACCGTGCTGTTCATGTGTCACCCTCCGCTTCACCATCCAGCTGGCCCGTCTCCTGCAGGTAGGTGCCCAGCTCAAGACGTTCATTTTCTAGTGTCTGCACCCTTTCTTCCAGACGCTCCACCATCTGATCGGGATTGTGGAGTATGAGTGGATTAGGTAGATACGGAGCATGCCAGCCTCTGCAGCCATGAGCATGTGGCGACATGCCTTCCTGAAGCAGGTGCAAAGAGCTACCCGATTGCAAGCAGGCTGCCTCAGCACGCACTTTCCTTTTTGTTGGAATGGAGCAGGGACATAGTACCGCGCCACACACTTCCTTTTCGCCAGCCCTCGGCATGGGTCTCACCTCGTCATACATGTCCAGCTGGCGCTCCGCCTCCTGTCGCCCCTGTGCCAGCTCAGCGCACGCCTCCTCATGCATCATCCTCAGCCTCTCCGCCCGGTCCCGCTTGGCCGCCAGCTCCACTTGCATCGCGCGCTCCGCCTGGCGTGCCCGGCGAGCCTCTGCCGCGGAGGCGGCGGCCTCCAGGCGCAGGGTGCGGATTGCATGCTCTGAACCCAGCTCGCCGAGCATGCGAGCGAGCTCCAAGGGAGAGGCACTGGGACCGGGGTGGGAGCCCAAGGCACCGAGCGCTGTGCACACTGCAGAGTGAAGCATCTGTGTGGAGGAAGGTGTGAAGGGGGGTGGGGGGTGTTCAGCTGAGTGCTGGACCGAGGACTTCACGGTTCGTGGGATGTAGATGCCAACTTGTATCTACTCGGTTGGAATTTTCAAAGGGGTTTGGGTTCAGCCACCCCACCTTTGCCGCCTGCTCGAGGGGCAACCCATGTCTGAGCCCCTGTTGCATTGCACCACTCCACAGAATGGTGCCCACCTGGTAGTCTGCCTGTAGCTGAGCAGCCTGAGTCTTTCGACTGATCGCCACAAGCTGGCCTGTGCCACACCGCTCCTTAACACACTGACTTACCACGGCCCCCGATCGCTCCATTGCTACTGCCAGCTGGCGAGAGAGGTAGGAAGGAGTCTGCGGCAGGGCTGCACTCTGTTGCCGCTGCAAAACCCGCAGGCGGCGCCTCTCAAAGTTCTGCCCCGAGGCATAAGCGACAAGGGCAACCAGTACCGCTGGCAAGACTGCCCTGGGATTGAGCAACGCGCCCATAACTGCCAGGCAGCTTCCCATCACAGCCATGGGGCGCGGGGACACGACCCGTGCTGCATCCCTGAGCATCAATCTGGTGATGGGTGAAGGCTCTGGTGGACATGGAGGGAAGAACATGTGACTGCATGGCTGGGGCTCATGCTGCACTTGCTTACCCATTCTGTCGCGGAGGTGGTAGGGCTGCAAAGTGCAGGTGGGATCCTCTCTCGCTGGTATCCCAGCGTCCAGAATGCGAGGAGAAGACGAAGATGATCTTTCGAGAACCTACAGGCTGCCCATAGGGTCTAAATGCCGCTGTGGATGTGCAAGTGTGTGCTGACAGCATCACAGATTGCTTCCAAAACCGCTCACAGCCTGAGGAGGGTCGCAAACCGATCCTTCGGTCGGCCATCTCGGTTTGTGCAAGTTGTTTCCCTTCATAAATGCATGCGTAGCAGTGTGACGCACAAGTTTGCTGAACACATCCCTCGATATTCGTGATCTTGTGCCACTAGGCCTGTTCGAAATGGCCACCTGCAGGAATGCAGGAAAGCAGGAAGGAGCTATCCTGAAATCAGGCAGAGCAAGACACCCTGCCCCGATGACGTAGTTTCAGCACCTCAGGTATGTCATGGGAGGTGTGACATCTTGAGAAGCAGGATGAGCCTTGAGGTGGAGCTTTGAAAAGAAGCCGGAGTGAAGGGTGCAAGGTATCACTGCACTCCCAACCTTATGCACCCCACTCTAATCATAATGTTTTTGAAGCTACGCCTTCAAAACTACAGAATGGTGTTGATGTAGTAACAGTGAAGGTTCAGAGGCTTGGGTGCCATAGTTCCTGTCTGATCTGTTCTCACTTCGCTCAAAGCCATCATAAAGGAGCGGCGAGTCCTGCAGCATGGGTGGTAATGAACGGCTTCACATGCACATCCTGGGGCCCTGCTTTCGTAGAATCCTCGATTGTTGAAAATGAGGATCTCGTACTCATCAATTGTATAGGAAGAGTTGTCCAGGCCCCTCTTGGAGGAGCTTTGGCATCTCCCGGAAGCCATGGATGACGAACTTCTGCGCGACCTGCTCACTCTGGATGGCGATTTCTCGGTAAGAAACACGAGCTTAGACGCTCAACTCGGCTGCCTTTACCAGCTTTGCCCCTCCATTCCCTGGGCAAGTGTCTCATTCTGTTGAACAGTCTGCCGTGCTCCGACGACACAGGCACCTCCCGCAGCGTCCGCTCCCCCCGCGCCCGCACCGTACATCCCTCCACCCATCCCACACCCGGCTGCCGCTCCCAGCCAGTCCCAGGCTCACGCGGCTCCCCTCCACCCGGCAGCACCCGCCGGGGGCCAGAGTCCCCCCGCCCCACCTGCACCCCATCCTGCCCCAGCAGCCCAGGGCCAGGCTCCCTCCAGGACCCTCAGTCGCTCTGTGGCCCCCTTCCTGGCCAAGTTCTCACCTGCCCACTGGCACATGCTGTTTGGGGCGCTGCACAAGTACGACTCCGGGTCCAAGGCGCGGCTGGAGGCCATCTTCGTGCAACGCTACCCCAAGCTCAAAGCGGCGGCCGCCACCTCCACGGAAGCCTACGTCGCGGTGGGCTTCAAGATGCTGGAGGCGCTGCTAGAGTTTCTGCCCGAGGACCGCCTGATCAGCTTCATGCACAAGTGCGTGGAGCATGTGGCAGAGAAGAAGTCAGCCGCGCTGGCGGCTGCCGCGCAGCAGAAGCAGGAGCAGCAGCAGCAGCAGCAGCAGCACTGGCAGCAGGGAACTGGCGGCGAGGGTGCGGGCGCTGGGCCCTCTGGTCGTCCTCCCAGCGCAGCACCCCAACACCCGCTTCCGACACAGCCGCCCGGCCACCCGCAGCAGCCGCAACAGGCAAAGCCCGGGCAGCAACCGCTCGGCGGCTACCCTCAGCAGCAGCAGGGGCGACCGCCCATCCCCGGCCAGGGTCAGAGGGCCTCGCAGGGCGGCGAAGTGCCGGGGGTTGCCCTGGGCAGGCCGGTGGGTCCTGTGTCTGGGGTGGGCTTCCCGGGCAGCCACGGGGATGGGCAGCAGCGCCTTGGGCACCCAACCGCCGGCGTCGGGCCCGTCGACCCTGGCCAGCAGCAGTCAGGCTCGCAGCAGCCCCAGCAGGGGCTTGCACGGAGGGAACCCGGGGCGGGGCCGGGTGCACAGCGGAAGGCCGGCGGCACCAAGCGTGGGAGCCTGGGTGGGCGGGAGTGGGCGGAGGGTGGGCGGGAGTGGGCGGAGGGTGGGCGGGAGTGGGCGGAGGGTGGGCGGGGTGCGGGGTTAGTGGGCACAGAATGCCTGGCTACCCCTGCGTCGCCCGACGGTTTCATGGATGGCTCGGAGGATGCGGTGTCGCGGGTGTGCTCAGGGATGTGACCGCTGTGGTGAGGGTAAGGATGTGGCGCACTGAATCTCACATTCCTACCCCTCCCTGTGCCACAGACGGCGAGGGAGGTAGCGGTCAACGTGAAGGGAAGCGTGCCCGTGCTGCCAGCAGGAAGGATCGCGACGGGGACATCGACGAGATCCTGGGCGCAGACGCCTTCATCGACATGGAGCAGGAGACTGACACCCTCATGGCTGGTGGGTGGCGGGATGCCCTGCTAGGGTGCAGCAGTGGGTGGCCGGGTGTGTATGTGGCATAGGCTCTGTGCAGGCCTTCCTGGGGCTGCTTCCTACAACGGGGCTTGCCCGAGCTGGAATGCATGCACTCGGGACCCCTTCTCCTTTCACCTAGGTGTACTGCAAGAAGAGCACCTCCTTGCCATCGCCGGGTCTGCACCACGGATACCCCTCATGCTGCCGCCCCTGACAATCCCTGCCGACCGCCAATTCATGCAGGTCTGCAAGTGCAGCGGACGCAGGGCCTGGCGTCGGTGGCCGCCAGCCAGACCCTGAGCGAGTGGCGGCTGGGGAACGAGTGCGTGAAGCAGATGCGCGCGGCGGGGCTCAAGGTCCTCAAGCCGGAGTGCTTCGAGGTCATCCAGCGCGCCTTCCAGTCGCAGGCCGAGACCCTGCTGCGGCGCGCGATGGCGGTGGCTCGCCACCGCCAGGACAATGCAAGGTGTGCGACGACGGGGGGTGGAAGGGCGCTCGTGGATAGAAAAGGAGAGGGTGAGGGGGCCGTCGGCGGGGCCAGAGGGCAGGTGCCGGAGGGGATGCGGCTCCGACTCCTTGCTGTCACACCACAGTTGCTGGAGGACATGCACGGTGTCGCCTGCTCCAACGCGTGGCACACGGCGTCGTCGTCCCCACCGATGAAGCCAACACACACACCTCCACCCACTCAGGCGCCAGCCCGGCGTGTCGGTCACGCACGACCCGCGGCGAGGTGTGCTGGGCCTCGAGCGCGCCGCGCGCGCGGCGGCCGAGGCGAAGCTGGCCGCGGAGCGTGAGGCGTTGCTCAAGGCCGCGGGGTCGCGGCGGGCGGACGAGGAGACCAAGGAGCGGGCCCAGAAGGCCAAGGCAGAGCTGGCAGGGCGTGCGCAGGCCAGCGCCGCCAACGCCGCGGTGGCGGCCACGCTCGGCGGCAAGGGCGGCCGCTTCGCGCGCTTCGAGCGCCTGGGCGCTGCCGGCCTGGGCGGTAAGGACGGCCCCGGCGCGGCGCGGGCGGGGGCCAAGAAGGGCGGGGCGGAGCGGGCGCGGGAGGGCACCCCGCCCGCCCGCCCCGCCCTGGCCGAGCGCGCCGCGTCTGGCGAGGGCGCGGCGGACGGCGTGGCTCCCTCGGGCGCGGATGGCGCAGACCGCGGCGCCGACGGCCAGGATGAGGGGCCGGACTCCGTCGCCGGGCTGCTGGCCGCCGCGCAGGCACAGCGCCGCGCCGATGAAGAGCGGCGGCTGGCGGAGGTTGCGGTGGCCGAGCGGGCCGCGGCTGAGAAGGCGGCGGCCGCCGTGAGGGGCGCGCAGCCGGCGGTGGTCGGAGGTGCGGCTGCCGGGGCGGCCAAGGAGGACCCGGGCGCGGTGAGGGTGGGGTGAGGTTGTGGGCGTGGTGTAAGGGACGTTTTGGACGATCGTACCCCCGCCATGAGCGTAGATTTCAGTCACGATGAGTTCATGCCCGGAGATCGCGCCCTGCCATGGGTTACTGCGGCAAGCAAAAGCTTCCCCCTCGCCTTTCAAACTGCGCCTGCACGTTCAGGGCGGTCCGGGCCGAGCAAAGCTGTTTGGAGGACCTGCCAAGGTCACGGAGGAGACGGAGACCCTGACCCTACCAGACCTGTTGACCGCCATGGAACGCGACCGGCACTACGCCAAGAGCTCGCTGCTGTACACTTGGCGCAATCGCCTAGTCCAGGGCTGAGGGGTGGGGTGGACGTCCATCCTCCCCGCCAGGGGAGGTCGGCGGCTGGAAATTTGGTGGACTCCGGTGTACGTGCGGAGGTCAAGGCTACTCCCCACTCCCATGGGCCTCCTCAATTTGCTCGACAACTTGTTTCTGGTTGCATCGTGCCCAGGATAGCAGCACTTCCACCTTCCCGGCTTGTAATCTGTACTGCACTCAACCCCTTCGAGCAACTCAATATCTGATGAGTGTAGCGAGGCCAGCACACATTCCACAAAGCAAAATGCCATAATCAACCCGTGTCAGAGCCTGGCATGCGACCCGCGGTGTGGGGGCTCCTTCCCACACAATGCCCCCCACACACAGAGAGACCCAGCGATCAAGCAGACTTGTAGGCGGTCTTGAACCGGGACACCGCCTCCTCGATGTCCTCCCGGTGGCCAAAGGCGCTCACCCGCACGAAGCCCTCGCCCGCCGCGCCAAAGCCCGAGCCGGGGGTGGTGACGATGTTGCAGCGCTCCAGGATCTCGCCAAACACATCCCAGGACTTGCGGCCTGGCAAGGCAGGAGGTGTGGGGGCTGGGGTAAGGGGGACAGAATCGATGGGGTTCGCCAAGTCAGACTCGCCTGCACAGGCTCGAAGCCTGGATGCCTTGTCCAGCTGCAGCTGCTAAGGCATCTACACGCAAGCAGGGACGAGAGAGCAAGACCGCATTGCATGGAACACAATCCCCACGCTCCACACCTGGAAACTCGATCCAGATGTAGGGCGCATCGCTGCCTCCATACACCGTGAAGCCAAGGTCCTGGAAGGTTTTCCTGCAGGGTTATGGTATGAGGAAGCTCTAGCGGATGCAGACATGCAAGCGTTAAACACGGCAGTTGAGCCCAGTGGGTCCTGGGGAGTGCAAGGCACACCATTTCCATGTGGATACACCCTGGGCTTGAAATCTTCACCCACTCCCTCACGCCATCGTCTGTGCGCCCCCACCATACCGGCCTGCCACATCCAAGATCAATCATCCACACCACCCACTTGAGGATGGAAGCATTCTCCTTGTAAAAGGCCACCAGATCCTGGACCTCGGCCCAGCCCTTGTCAGACAGGGCTGCCAGGCCCCCCGCCTGAGCGATGTTGGAGGCTCCATTGAAGATCGTGGACATCACCCGGTTCCAGTCATTCATCACCTGGAAGCCATCTGAGGAAGTAGGGAGGAAGTTGTATTGTCTTGATGCATTGAGGTGATGGGCCATGGCCTGAAACCAAGGTGAACAGGCCCTGTCGCCTTCCTAGAGAGTTGCTTGGAAAAGGCTCCAAGGAATATTCTTTTCGATCCAGGAAAGTAAAAACCATCATGGACCATTCACCCCTGCAATGCTCACCAGCGTATCGCAGCTGCTCCGGAACCACCGTCCATCCGAGCCTGACCCCCGTGAAGCCGGCATACTTGGAGAAGGAGCACGTCTCCAGCGCCACCTCCTCCGCCCCCGGGATCTCATAGATGGTGCGGGGGCAGTCGGGGTCGGAGATGAAGAGGGCGTAGGCGGCGTCGAAGACGATGATGCTGCCATTCTTCTTGGCAAAGGCTACCAGCTCCGTCAGCTGGGAGCGGGTAGCGGCAGCTCCCGTGGGGTTGTTGGGCGAGCAGAAGAAGATGATGTCTGTGCGCTCGGCCTGGGACAGGGTGGAGGACGGAGGCGCGGTTGGGTGAGGGCGAGCTCCGTGCTCAAATGAATGCAGGGTGGGTTGCACAGGCATTACCTGCCTCAATCCCTTCCTTATTAAACCAGGAATGAGAAAGTGCACCCACACAGCGGATGCCTCTACAGCCACGAGCTCCTTCAGCCATCACAAGGCAGCAGGCTCACCTTGGACAGGTCCGGGAAGAACTGGGTCTCTGGCCGGCAGACCATGTAGGTGATGCCGTCAAAGTCCTCTCCATTGTGCTCACCGGTCATCCCCATGATGACCGACGAGTCCACGTACACGGGGTATGCGGGGTCCTGGGAGATTGGAGGGTCACCGGGGGTCAGTCACCTCAGCGCAGAAGGGGTGCTGCACTGGCATGCACCGCAGGGGTCACAATCACAGCAGGGGCCTGTGTCCCACCCAACCCATGTGCCCTTCTGGAAGTTCCTGCATCATTCAAGCATTATTCACCCAACCCAGTCCCTCAGCAATTCCTCTCACAACCCCTTGATGCCCCAGTCACCTGGGTTGCAATGCTGACATCAGCGCCAAACATGAGCTGGAGGCGCCCGATGTCACACTTGGAACCATCCGAGACGAAGATCTCGTTGGGCTTCCTGCCCACATGGGCATACAGGCGCTCGGTGATGGCCTCGCGGAGCTTGCTCTGACCCTGCTCCGAGCCATACCTGCACAGGCACAGCCAGGAGGAGGAAGGCATGACTTGGCAAAGTTCGAGGCAAATCTGCCAGGGCTGTGCACTCCCTCCACAGGGCCTCCAAGGTGCCCACGCCCCTCACCCGGAGTAGCCCTCGCGAGTTCCAAGGCCGATAGCGGCGTCGCGCATGGCGTTCACGATCGTGGGGGGAATGGGTTCAGTGGTGTCGCCGATGCCCAGGGAGAGGAGCTTGGCGTCGGGGTTGGCTGCCTGGTGCTCCCTGCGCCGCCGAGCCACCTCGGGGAAGAGGTACCCGGCCTGCAGCTTGGCAAAGTTCTTGTTGCGCTCGACGCGGGTGGTCACCTCACCTGGGGGAGGGCGGGTGGGGGTGTGATGTCCATGTATGGTGGAGCCAGTGGTTTGTGTGGCACCAAGTCGCGCAGCTACTGTCAGATACCAAACCGTCAGCATGATGATGCACCCCCTGTATCCCTGTCCAACTGCATTCGGGCGCACTTTTCTCTGGCGCAGCCACACATCGCACTGACACATGGGACACCAGCCTCGATCTGCAGAAGGCGGACATGCAGGGATTGCTTGAGATATGCTGGGTAAGGTCGCGAGAGGTAAGAGCACACATCTAAAACAAACGCCTTGGTTACCTGGTGGGAAGGTTGTGCTTGAAGCAACTCGTCGCCCGATTGGACGTCAGTCCCAACATGGTCATCGTGGTGTATGTCGATTGTCAAGAAAGGGGTTGTCAAGGGGCGAGGGGCAGACACACCCTACCAATGCACGGACGGGGATCGGGGATGGGGCTGCGCGCGCGCTGGAGCACGTGTTCCGAAGTATGTGAAGTATGGCGAACATGGTGAGAGATTGTTCCGGGCCGCCCAGCAATGCAATCGCATTTATTGATGGATGTGTCACTCATTGTAGGTGAATAATGCTCACGCAATTGCATATATGGGGATCGAAACGCGGGGTAGCCAAAGGACATGTGGCACATGTCGCGACTTGAAGGACTACTCTTGACCAAACGATGAAGACAACCTCAAGTGAATATCAGAAGGGAATCCATATCGCAACTAGCTAAGATGAAGGCCGGAAAAAGTCATGTCGGTGCCGCTCGCCTTTCGGAGCCCTTGCAGATGACTTTGTCAGGTGAGGGTTCAAAACGCAGAACATGTACAGACCCTGAGCACCAAAGCCGGGGAGGGTTAGCCAGCCGAGGTCTTCAGGGCAGTCCCTGAGCAATTACCTTATACCCCCCCCCCCCTCCCCCTCCCTCTATCCCCTCAAGACCGGAGGAAACGCGAGAGACGGAGGCCTCCAGTGCCAGCCCGGCATGAGCGACCTCTCATGGGTCAGACCAGTGGAAAGGACTGGGTTACAGAGAATCAAAGGCATGTACTCCCACTCCAGCAACGCGCAGAGGCGCCTCTTCAGGCAAGCATATGGTGTATGCACTGAGCTGGAAGACTGCTGAGATATTTTCCACAAAGGCACATGTTGCTTTGACCAAGCCACAGTCGCAAACTGTCATGCATGCTCATCCAATGCCCCTTTGCACCCCTTTGCCACCATAGATGGACTACCTGAACAAACCCGACTTCGGGCGGGTGCCCGCCTACCTGCATGAGCGCCGGATGGAGGCCGAGGCACGGGCAAGGGCAGCTGCTGCTGCTGAGTCGGCCCAGGCCGCTCAGCGACATCACGATGCCTCCTCGCGGGTAGTGTTGGGTCGAGGCCTTGAAAGTTAACAAATCCACACTAGTCCCCCAGCCTTCCTGCGCGGAACTCCTGGGCTGACGTGCAAGGTGATTGCCCACCCGACCCACCCAGCACGACTCATCCCCAGGTCCTTGAACTGGATGGCAAGGAGGTCGCCACCCTGCTGCAGCATGTGACCGCCAAGCGCCAAGTCACCCAGGCCGCCTACATGCGCCTTCCGTGCGTCGTGGAGACGCCCTCCCTCCTGCGCACCAAGCAGGTACCCGTGTGCCTTCCTTTCCTGCTATTTTTTTGTGCAGCATAGACCTTGGGCTGGGACATCAAATGTCTTGCACACTGTTTACTCCTCATACTTTGCCACGCCAAGCAGGCACTGGAGGACGAGCTCTCTGCCCTGGAAGCCGACCTGAAGCTGCTCAGCCAAGCGCAACGCATCCGTGTGGAGTAGGCTCGCGTCCTGTAGCGGCGGTCATGGCTGCACACGGTTTCGGCAGATTGTGCCTTCTTGTGGAGCTCCTCACACTGCTGCGGCTGAACGGCTGTCGAGGCGCAGCTCGAATGTACGAACCTGCACAATTGTAAGAGCAACAGAAAGGGATCATGAAAGTCTCTGTTACATTCAAATACAGGATGTAGGATGTTGGGAGGACATGGCTGAGCACAAAGAATACACGGAAAACCTCACTCCCTGCAGCTGCTACTTTAGAAGGCAAGAGAGGAGTTCCCAGAGGCTGCGGGAGATCCTGGAGCAGACTTGTGCCCTGTCCTTCCCCCAGATCCCCCAGATCTCGACCCCATTCACTCATACTAATCTTTCAAACCAAGGGAGTCTTCCTCAAACACACAACTCACCTCAAAGGGTTTCAGTGTGATGTTGAGCCTCCCTCCTCTGCAAGGCGGGTGAACAAGGGAGCTGTCCCTGCACAGGGTTGGCGGCCGACCCACCCCCTTCACTGCGCCGTCCTCCCCTGAATTGAAGCGCAGCCTGGGTCTGGCACCGACTTCAGAGTTGGCCGTGAGCGACACCTCCGTCACCTGCGGTTGGGGGTAAGGGGAAGTTTTGTAGAGCCAATGGGTGTGACCACACAAACACCGGACTCTCCTCGCCCGCTGCCGATGGCAAAGCGCACACATGCCCCCCATCCGTTTCAAACCAGACCCTCGCCTCGGAGAACTTGATGCTCCTCAGCAAAGGCGCAAGGTCAAAGGTCGCTGGGGTCGAGGCGTCCCCGCCCTCCCCCGCCTCGTGGAGGTGCGCCACCCTGACGATGCCACGCCCTGCCAGCTCAGCAAAAGTCACCAGCTGGACGTCAGGGGGCAGGGTGGCGCCACCCGACAGGGACAGCGCGAGTGGTGTGGGTGCAGGCGGCGCTGCCGGCGGCGGCTCTAAGAGCTGCACGGGTCCGGCCATGACCAAGGGCGGGTCGTTGACCAGGGCCTGGGCGGTGCGGCGCACCGCGGCGGCATGGGCGGGCCCCTCCCCGCTTCCCTCTCGCTGGACCAGCACCCGATGCACGCCGCGTGCCACCAGCCCGCCGCAGGCGTGGGGCGCCTCGCGGTTCGCGTCGCCGCACGCCGTCTCGTTCAGGGCCTCTGCCACGCCGCGGCCGTCGTCCGCCAGCAGGCGACGGTGCAGCATGAACTCCAGCCGGCCGGATGCCAGGGATGCAGCGCCTGGAGGGAGGCGAGTGGGTGGTGTTGGTGTGGACGGGGCGGGGGCCAGTTAATGTTGGGAAGGATGTATCCCCGAAAACTCCCGCCCATCGAGGCCACACGATATAGAAGTTGAGTTCGGTTTGAGCTGAGGATCCTCCAGCCGGGCCACTGCAAGGCCTGGCTTGCTGCAGAGGTCGACAGACTCTCGGTGCAAGAGGAAGGCACAATGGCCCCATCATGCAAGTGCGCGCATGTGTGCCCTTCGCTGCAGTGGTCCCACGGTCTTCGCGTCCCGCGCCCAGTGCACCTGCTTCTCCGCCCCCTGACGGCCCCACCCCCCACCCCCTTGGCCTCAACCCACCCTGCGCGCGGTCCACGAGGACGGCGAGCGAGTGCTCCCGGTCCTGGATGGTCGCCGCTGCGGTGACTGGGTAGTAGTTCCCCGCCACCGGCTCCGTCACGTTCAACCGCCAGCCGGGGCGGTGATCGCGCTCGCGGTGCATCATGTGGCGGCCGTTGGAGTCGGTGTGGAAGGTGCGGCCGGAGCGGATGGTGGACGACCGGTACTCCAGCACCACCTCCTTGCCCAGACCGTCAGACACGGGGATGGGACCCACGGTCCATTCGACCTCAAAGTGCGCCTGGCCTTGGTACAACCTGGGGTTGGTAGGAGAAGGGAAAGGGGAGGGAGGCGAAGGAGTGTGGCTCATTCCTCACGACCTGCTTGCCTGCAGTTGACAGCACCCTGAAACGGGAAGAAGCCGACCATCCAGCGCTGCCCTACCTTGTGACCAGGGTCGCCCAGTCGCCAAACCGCTGATGGGCCTCCTGGACCACCTCCCCCTTCACGATCCTCAGCTCTACATCACGCCGGTGGCGCGGGAGGAAGGTCTTGCTGCCGGGCCTGTGTGAGGAGGGGTGGGGTCACCCGCCAAGCTTGAGCCTGGCAGCATGTGGAGCTCGCTGTCTTGGGCCGGTTCCTGTGTTGACTGGTAGCGAGTAGCGAGAGAGCGCCAGCCCAAACCCCTTACCTGAAGATGTAGGCGCCCCCGGCCTGGCCCCTGTCCTTACCCTCCGGGACATCCAACCCATCACTGGAGTTGTACCAGGCCAGGGAGGTGGTCAGCTGGATGGGCTCCGCGCCATCGATGCCGATGCCCTTCAGGCTGCCTGTATTGGGAGGTTGGTGGGGTGCTTGAAGGATGAGTGCACCTTTTACAGGGATAACATAGGATGTGCACATAAGCAGGAGGCAGGGGGACTGCAGGCAAATGCTTTGTGCAATCGAATCCAGGCAGATGGCACCGTCCATCCGCTCTTCCGCCATGAAGAATTCGTGGCCGCGATTCAAATCTGCTCTCACTTCTTAGCGCCTCGCACTGGCCTCCAAGACCCCTCCCATCCCTACACTCGCCTGCCTCTGCATCAAACACGAGGCGCAGGATGCCGTTGTCGAGGACCTCGTCGCGCCGCCTCCTAGGCCCTGCACCCGAGACCACGTCCCTTTCAGCACGCCCAACACTTGCCGGCAGCATGGTGAAGGTTGCCAGGCCGAGGGGCTGCAGGTCTGCGACCCAGGCCACCTCCGCGTCCCCTGCCGCCTCAGAGCTCGCATTCGTCTCGTGGAGCAGGTGCTGCAGCCTGCGAGTGGTCGCATCCACGGACACCGTCTGGGAGGGCAGGGTCTCGTTGTTGGGGCCTGTGATAGATAAGCGAGAGCATGGATGTGGATGTGGGGGGTCGTGGGTGTGACTGCGAAGGGCCCGTATCCCACACCAAGCTTGCTGGAGATGCTTGAAACAAGTCCACAAACTCATACCACAGCCGCGCAGATCCTCCAGAGGCAGGACAACCACTTTGCATGCCCACGGCATGCCAGACCACTCCCCTTGGACAACCCGCAGACCTTGCACGATCCACTCGCAGGAGGTGTGTGTCGACACAGCCACCCTCAGGGGAGCTCTCACTGTCCAGGCCACGGGGTTGTACACGACGACGCGGATGCTCCTCCCCTCCCTGCTCAGGCGCACGCTGGGCTCGCAGATCGTGGCGTTGGCGTAGTTGCAGAAGCGCAGCGTCGAGCCGTGGGCGCTGGCAGCGTTTGATAGCAGGGGTTCGCCGCCGAGCAGCTGGGACACAGCGCCCACGACTACAGTCTGCGCCTCCACCAGACCTGTCGACGGCGGGAGGTTAGGATTGGCATTGCGGTTGATGCTCGACCCGGCCGCATCAGCTTGAGTCTTTGACCTCGATTCCGAGTTCAATGCCCTCCTTCCCACACATCTCCCATGCTACATGCGATCCACGCGTATGCATTCAAGAGACACCAAGAATGCACGCTGATCCCATGCAAGGATGGATGGGCTGGCAGTCCAAGTGCTCACATGATGCTACGGGCTCACGGAGCCACTTGACGACACCCACACCACCAACCGCCAGACCTGCACTCAGTCGCTCATGATAGTCGTTGGCAACATGCTGCTTCTCGGTGCCGGTGATGGAGTCGTGGTGCTGGGTGAGGGACACGGCGGCCTCCAGGCCATCTGTGGTCGGGCCGCCGCTGGACTTGCCGCCGACAGTCAGCTCCAGCTGCCGAGCAGCTTGCAGGAAGGAGGTGGCCTGGCGGATGTAGCGCTTGCTCGTGGGGCGGCTGGAGAAGTAGCCTGGAGGGGTGAGGGAGAGAAGTGGGCTCGCTTGTAGGCATGCCAGCCACAGCGCAGGAGCTACTTTGCCAAGGAAGAGATGAACTGCGACACCTGCACCCGGCTCTCATGAGCTTAACCCCCCCACATTCACTCTATGATCTGCCACAGCCATCCTCCTCCTCTTCAAAGGTCCTCACCTGTCCAGTATGCATGCGAAGAGTCCGAGTAGGGGAAGAAATCGTCACGCTTGACAGACCAGGTGTGGTTGTACCCATGCTTGGCGTCGACATATGCCTCGGGGGTGGAGTAGAGCACATTCACCCTACCATCCGCATTCACATAGTGGATGAGCTTGTCCATGTTCTTAAACCTGGAATATTGGTGATGGAGGTCTAGCGATATCATTCACTCCTGTGCCTCAGTGCAGACTTGACACTTGACCCTTTCCAGAGTCTTGGCGACGAAGCACAGCAGAGCACGCCGTCGGCACGGCCTCACCACTGATTGGCTCGGCCGTAATTGAAGTCGGAGCCCATGGTGACGATGACATCATTGCCCACTGTCACGTTGGCCAGTCCCTGTGCATACCAGACAAAGGCATCCACCCTGTGGGTAGGTTCAGAATGGGAACAGGTGTGCATAGGGAGGATGGCATTGGAGGTCCAGGAGGAGCCCAAATTCCAGGGGGATCTTGCATGCTCACATTTATACACCTCATGTCGCAGAAGACGGCTCAGTGTCTTGCTGCGCCCTTGTAATCAAGCCACGACCCAACCCTGTGCCTCGAGTGACCCATCACCCCCCTTCAGAACTTTCCGACCCTCCTGCACGCATCACCTGTCCTGCACATTGTATTCCTTGAGCTGCGGATCGTCAGCAATAGGGGGGCATCCCCACTCGAATCCAAAGCCTTCTGGAGGTCCATACTGACCTGTGGTACGTTGACCAAGGCAAGTTGTTGCTAGCGAGAATTTGCATACTGTTCTCATAGCAATCAGGTAATAATCATGTATGTGCGGGCAGGGGGGAATACAGCCAACTCGAGTTTGCAATCATTCTTCCCGGAAACTGCCGATAACCCTGGTCGTCATGCACATCCGCTCCTCACCGCTGGCAAAGTTGACAGTGAAGATGCCGTCCTCATCCCCACCCACAGTCCCGTTGGGTGCCCAGATGAACTCGAGCTCCTTCTTTGTGCGGCGCACATCCATGTCCTGGCATGATTAGAGGTGATCAGGTCTTAGCTCTCACCAAGAGTGTGACAGGATGGAGGGTTCTACCCGTACCACCTCCATAGGAATTCTGAGATCACCTCCTGACCCCACCTGGTGGTCAGCTCGGGCAATGAAGAGGGCATCAAATCCAGCCTCCGCCGACATGAGGGATGCCTGGGTGGCAGAGTGGCCAAAGGGATCTAATTGCCAGGCGATGCGAGGCTTCACACCAAAGGTGTCCTGAAGGAAGCTGCGCAGAAGGGCGAAGGGAGCAGTAATTGAATGTACCGCACAAGAGAACAATAGATGGTCATGCCCCCTTGCATACCTTTGGAGGGCCCATTCCATGCTAAAGCAAGGAGTTTGCATCCTTGGGCTGACTTATAGCCTTCTCATTGGGTGCTATCATTTGCAATGCTCCAGGTCCAGAGCCTCTGCCCCACATGCCCAAGCCCTCCACAGCAGCAGAGACACCTGTGGCCCCTTGTGGTCTGGTCGATCATGGCCACATAGTGGCTGGCCGCCTCGTCGTGCTGTACGTAGCCGCCGTTGGCAAAGGACAGCTGGCCCGAGGCCACCAGGTGGTGGACCAGGTCCCGCATGTCCTCCTCCTGCTGATCCCACCAGCGCTGGAAGAAAGACTGAATGGGAAATAGGCAGGGGTGGGGGGAAGGGGAACAAAATCGAGACCAGAAAGGGTAAAATTCCCACAGGACAAGCTGGGCTGGGAGCAGGAAGCGAATGACAAATCTATCGTGTTGCATGTATGGGGTGGCGCGGCACTGGGTCTGGCCGGACCATATGCAAAGAAACTGGGCTATTCCTGGGGGCGAAAACAGGGACTATCTCAAGTTGATAAGCAGAGACACAACCCACACCCACACACCATCTCGGCATAGGTGAATTTGCGGTCCTTGTTGGCAGCAAGGGCCGCCACCACGGCATCCAGAATGTACTGCACCCCGGCATCCTGAGAGAAAGAAGGACGAGTACATTCTTGAGTGCTCCACAGTCTGGGGCTCAGCACACACAGAGTATCCACAAGTTGCTGCCAAACGTCCTGATTCCATTCATGGTAAAACAACGGTCAGCAGATCGTATCGGTGACCATCATGCCTGGATGGTGTTGTTAGCACCCCAATAGTACTGGTCCACGGTCTTCAGCCACCCAGCGTCATCGTGGGTGTGGCAGACGAGATGGACATTCAGCTTTCCATCCAGTCTGAGTAGATGGAATGGGGCTTGCACATGATGAGGACACCGTGCTTTGGGTTTAAATCGAGCAATGCGAGCATCACGGCCTTGAGAACACCCACACCATGCAATCCCACCACATCTTTTCGGGGCACGATCACGAATCCTCACCTCCCCGCATCGGTCTTGTAACGACCAGCTGAGACGCCGTAAAAACCAAGAAACGATGAAATGAGAAGAAGAAGCTGCCCTGATTGCATCGCACTGGTGCCTCTATACTCTCCCGCCTGGTACCGGAGGACACCCGAGCAGTGTTGATAACTGACGGCCCTCAGGCAGAATTTCCGGCTCTACAGATTTCAGTGGCACGGACCTTGCACGTACAAATATTCCATCGGTGTCTACTTCCCGATCAGAACGAATGTGCGACTCGTTGACTCCAGTTTGGAATCTTTTGTCGACACCATTACCCTTTCCGAAACCAGAAGGGTTTCGAACATGCTCTGCGTGCGGCGTTAAACCCCCCCAGGACTTTGGGCGCCATGCATTGCATTGCCGTGCATGCCTGCGTCCACTCTGCAAGGCAAGGGGCGCAAACGAAGCACACACGACGTGTACTTAATACTCAAGAAGAAGCGGTATGATGGGCGCCATGTTGTGAATAGAATGCTAGCCGTGAACTGAGGTGTCGCCGGCCAGTCCGCAGCGTCAGTCTTCCACTGTTCCCGGTGTGCAAACATATAGTCGGTCCACCGAAAGCGTCTGCGGCCATGCCCGGCGATAAGCGCCCCCGTATCACCGCGGATGAGGAGGCCAGGGTAGGTGGAGCATGCTGCACGGGGGAGCGGACTGCCTGGCATTGGGAGTGCTCCTCCGACTCCCGGGTGGCGAGGTAGCCCTCATTCTACACCACCGACGTTCTATGTCACAGATGGCGGAGCTGGAGACCCAGCTGTTCCGAGGTGAGGAGGACGTGGCAGCCGAGCTGCTCAGCACCGGCGACCCCCAGCAGCTGCCCGTGTACCAGGACTGTGAGCCCACCGAGGAGGCCCGGGCGCCCGCCTGGCACGACCCCCAGGACGCCAGCCTGCGTGTGAACGTGGCCGACGTCTCCCGCGCCCGCAAGCTCCGCCAGCGGAACGGGGAGAAGGTCTTGGACGGCGCGGCATACTCCGAGCGCCTGCGCGCCCAGCACGCCAAGCTGAACCCGCGCGTCGGGTGGGCCAGGCGCGGCGCGCGCGCGGAGGCGGGGCCCGACTCCGAGACCGCGGCCCTGCTGCAGCGGTCGGGCGGGTTGCTGGTCAAGGGCAGGGCGCTGCCCGCGGGCCAGCTGGAGGCCAGCCGCATGCGCGACGCAAACGCCGCCGACCCAGCCCAGGGGGTACTGCGCGCGCTGCAGTACCACCCCAACGGCCAGCTGCTGCTCACCGCCTCGCTGGACAAGCGCCTGCGCTTCTTCGCCGTGGACGGCGACGCCTGCCCCCTGGTCCAGAGCCTGTTCCTGGAGGACCTGCCGGTGCACGCCGCGGCCTTCGCCGCCGGCGGCAGGAAGGTGCTGGCCACGGGGCGGCGCAAGTACTTTTACGTGGCGGACCTGGAGAGCGCGACTGTGGAGCGCATCCCGCGTCTGTTTGGGACCCAGGACCGGAGCCTGGAGGGTTTTGTGGCCAGCGCTGGGCCCGGCTCGCAGGGTGTGCAGGGGGGGATTGAGGGGGAGGGTGTGTGGTGTGGCTGCAGGTGGCAGCAGCGAGGGGCTAGGGGAGGATTGAAGCGTGACAGGCGGCAGCCTGCGGGCCAGGGCATGCCAGGTGTAGCCCCGAGGGTGTCCCTTTGCGCGGGCCGCGGCAACCGATGATGAGGGATTTCGTCAGGCTGCACCAGGGGTGTGGAGGGGAGATTCATCGTCGAGCATCTTGCAGACCCCATGTCCTGCTGGACACCCAGCATGCCGGATTTGTACCGCCCAGCTCTGCTGCTGTGTTCTCAGGCTTGATCACCTGGACCTCTCTCCTCCCCATCACAGTCGTGGCTTTCCTTGGCGATGACGGCACCCTGCCTCTCATGTCCCTGGCAACCAGGCAGCTGGTGGGCACACTGAAAATGAACGGCTCGGTGAGTGGTGTGCCGGGGTGAGGGTGTGACAGATGTGCAGGGAAGCTGCCTGCATGGACGAGACCTGTAGCTGGCATGCATTGGGGATGAGGACATGCATCATGAACTCCAGAGGGAGAGTAAGGGTAATTTGTCCCATACTGCACAGCCTCCTCCCAAATACACCCCTGCTCATCAATAATCCCAACCAAACACGTGCAGGCACGGAGCGGGGCCTTCAGCAGCGACGGGATGGAGCTGTACACCTCGGGAGGGGACGGCGCCGTGTACATCTGGGACCTGCGGCAAAGATCCTGCCGGGCGCGCTTCGTGGATGAGGGCAGCCTGCGCGGCACGTCGCTGGCCCTCTCCCCTGACGATTCCCTGCTTGCAGCCGGTGAGCAGAGGTCAATGATGGGGAAGGGACGAGGAGGCGTGCACGTATGTGCCATCGGGACCGAAAAATACCCTCAGCATGGTTGAGAATTTGCCCCATGGCAACAGCTTTCCAGGCAAAGGTCGCTGGTAGCCTGGCGGGTGACTCCATGTCCCCAACTCGCGAGCATAAGATGCTGACACCATGGCAACATGAACTTTGACATGGAAACCACATCCATTGCCAAATCCCAATCCCGTAACTTCCTCCCTCTTTCTCCTAAACTCCCAGGCTCGAGCAGCGGCGTCGTGAATGTGTATGGCCGGGAGCAGATCTTAGGGGACTCCTCGGACCCGGTGCTGCCCACCTCTGCCGCAGCAGCCGACGTCGCTGCGGCGTTCCCCAGGGATGCCGCACGTCCCCCGCCGCGCCACTCGGCGCTCAATCTGACCACCACCATTGACAGCCTGGCCTTCAGCCCCGACGGGCAGGTCCTGGCGATGGCCTCACGCATGAAGCGGGACGCGCTGCGCCTGCTCCACGTGCCCAGCGGCACCGTCTTCTCCAACTGGCCCACCAGCCGCTCCCCGCTGGGCTACGTGCACTGCCTGGACTTCAGCCCGGGGGGCGGCAGCCTGGCCATCGGGAACGCCAAGGGCAGGGTGGTCCTGTACCGCCTGCACCACTACCCCCAGGCTTGATGGCTCGGGGAGTGCACGTGTAATGCAGGCTACTACGTGTGATACACCGTGAGTCGAGTGGTGTAGAGAGGGGAGGGGGTGGGGGGGGGAGGCACACATGGTATTCGTCCCCCCGTCCGAGAGACACCGTCGATCCTGACGAGTCAGCGACTCCGGGCGCGTAGAGCAGGTGTCTTCACCCCCTTCACCCCAGCAGCGCTCCCTTGCTGCTTCGTTGATACTTGGTCTTGAATTCTTCTCCGACTGCCGCATGTGCGTGCAAATTTGTCGCGCCTGCAGTGTCCTCCACCATGGGATCCCGACAAGATGCGAAGCTGGAGAAAAAGATCAAGGATCTGCTTCGACAGCCCTATAACCGGCGATGTGTCAACTGTGAAAGCCTGGTGAGTACTGGCTGCTGCATTACGGCCCATGGTCTGCCCGCCATACCCCGTGCACCTCGATCTCACTGGGTTGCGACTCCTGATACACACAGGGCCCCCAGTATGCACTCCCCAGCTTCAACATCTTTGTGTGCACAGTGTGCAGCGGTGTCCAGTGAGTGGGGGCGCATGGCAGGGCCATCGCCACTCCATTCCTCGTCAAGGGGCCTGTATGACTCCGGTATGACCCATGCCCGAAGTCACATCCGCTCATTGTTTGATTTGAACTTTCGCCCCATGTGCAGCCGTGAGTTCGGTCACCGCGTGAAGGGCATCTCTGTTTCCCGATTCACCCCTGAGGAGGCAGCAGCGTTGGAGGAGGGCGGCAATGGGGTGAGGCGGCGGGAGTTCAGGGTCCAGGGCAGGACTATGGAGTGGTGGGGCGCCCCTGCTGCCAGGGCCTTACGATGCCCACCTCTTTCCGATGCACAGGCCTTTGCTGCCGAGTACCTGGCCACCTGGCAGGCTTCTACCCTGCCCAAACCCACCAACCGGGTCCCGGCCAAGATCAAGGAGTGGATCCAGGTGGTGTTCCAGGAGCAGCGATTCAGGGGCCCCCCAAAGAAGGCCTCCTCGCCGCAGCAGCGTGCACCCTCCCTGGGTCAGGAGGCTAAGCCAGCCCTTTTCAAGACCCCGTCGGCTGGCCGGTCCCCTGCCCCCCTGTCTACCTCAAATGGCAACGTAAGTAGCTGATGTTGCATTGGTTAGACCTGATGCAGACGGCATGCTTGCCAGTGCTCGCTACGAGCCCAGCTGCCAGGGCCCCAGGCGCGAGAGGGCTGATCGGGATGGGCAACGGTGCTCTGCTTCAGCTCGTGCTCCAACAGTATCCCCCTTCCCTGCCCTCCCTCCAGGGCCACGCCGCCGCCGCTTCGCCGGACTCGGCGGACCGCAGCAACGGCGACGCCTCCCACGTCATCGAGCGACGCCTCTCGGATGTGCTGGGCCTGAGCATGCCGAAGCTGAGCGTGAGCGAGGTCCACTCCCCCGCAGCCTCCCCAGCCCCAGCCACTGCAAGGTCAGACGGTGCCGGCTCATCTCGCTGGTGGCCCGGGGGGAGCTGCACGAGGTGACCATGCCGACACCTGATGGGCCACCAACCCACAACCAGCTCACTAGACATGCCATGCGCACTCGCAGTTCTGCGGAAGCCCGGCTGCCCGCCGCTGCACCGGAGCGCGGCAGTCTCCTGGACCTGATGTCGGGGTTCTCGCCAGTGGGAGCCCAGGCCTCGGGGGTGCATGGGGAGGAATCTTCCCCCTGGGCGGCATTCGACGACGATGTGGGCGCCGGCGGCCCTCCCGCGCCGACCGAGCATGTCCCGGAGCCTGCCGAGGCACCCCCGCAGACCGCAGCCGCGCCACTGCCCTCGCACGAGACGCACGGTTGGGAGGCGTTTGGCGAGGATGCCGGCAAGCCTGCCGCGGCAGAGCCGGCGCCGGCGCCACACACGCTGCCGGTGCCTGCACCCGCGGCCACCGTGCCTGTTCCGGCGGCTCCCCCGGTGCCCAGCCCTCCGCCAAAGCCGGCGCCACGGCCGGAGGTCCCGCTGGTACGTGGCGGGCCACTCTGCATGGCTCCCTGAGACTGCGTGGGTGCGGCATCTCACTCGGCCAGCGTGCCTGCAGTGCCCTGGTTGGGCTGCTGCGTCGTCGAGCCACTTGGCTTGGCAGCCAGCACCCCGTCGCGTTGCTCACACAACCTTCCCCTTTTCTCTCCTTCAACTCCCCGCCAGGACGTCTTCTACCCCGAATTTGATGTCATCCGCGCCACGGGGCGCCTGCCCAACGGCCGACCCGTGCCGCCCCCCGGCTACCCCGTCCCCTCCGCCCTGGGCCCTGGCGCCCACGGCGCGCCCGCCCCCGCCTACAACCCCGCCCAGGCCGCTCTGGCGGCGCAGTGGGGTGGCGTGGCGTCGCCGCCGCGCCCCGGCCCCACGGTCCTCATCCCCAGCCCGACACGGCCCAGGTCCAGCACCCCCTCCCCCATCAGCAGCACCTACCTGGTGTCCTCCAGCGGCGGCGGGTCGGTGGCGGGGGCGCGCTTCCCGCCCTCCACCAGCAGCAGCCTGGGGAGCGGGGCGGGGCACGGCTGGGGCCAGCCCGTCTCGACCCCGGCGGCCGGCGTGCCGTGGTACGCCGCGCCCGCCGCGCCGGAGGGCTTCCCCGCCTCGGCCGGCCCCGTCAGTTCCTTCCCCGCGCCCGCCGCCCCCACCGCCCCCGCCCCCGCCGATGTCTTCTCGGGCCTGGCCGCTGGAGCACGCCCAGCCTTCCCGCAGGCGCCGCCGCCGGCCAAGGCGCTGCCCCCACGCCCCTCCAGCCGGAACAGCGACTCGGCGGCGCACACGCTGTTCGGCCGCTCCTCCTCCCTTTACGACCTGGACGCGCCCCAGGCCCCCCAGCCTGCGCCCAGCGGCAACCCCTTTGCTTAGCGCGCCCAGCGGCAATCCCTTTGCTTAGTGCGCCGACCTTGTGAGTAGGGCTCGTCGAGCCCCGTGTGACGTCCTCCCTCCCCCTGATCCCTGCCCTGCGTGGAATGCTCGAGGCCCCTCCATCGACCCTCAGGTCCCCCATCGATGCTGCCGGTAATGTTCATCACTTGCGTGTGAGCAGTTGCGAGCATCGCAAGCACCTGGCGCTCACCAGTTCTCTTCTTCTGGAATCGTGCCGGGGTGGCAGGCAGGGGCAGGTCGCGGGGGGAATTGGGGTCGGGCAGCCCATAAGCTTGCAGGTTTGTGTGCACAGGGGTTGCTTGATCTTAAAACCATAGTGGCACCCGGCCATTGAGTGAGGGGCCCGTGCCGAGCCTGCCCTGCCGTCACCGGAGTTGGAGGAGCGCCTCGGGCCTCACCACAGGTTGCCACGCCTCTGCCTCTACCAGGCTTAGGCCTGCATGTGTGGGTGTAAGGGGGTCTGAGCAGGGCTTTGGTGGGCATGCAGGGGTTGGGGTGGTGGACGCGAAGGGATCGCCGTGCCGTCGAGGCTACCAGTTCCCCTCCACCCTGGCAGCTCCACCCCGGCTGTGGGCTGGCACCTGGGTCGTGGTTTGCTTCACCCTGCGCGGCCGTGAGGCGCTGGCCGAAGCCGGACGTCAGCAGCGAGTGCCGCATGGCTGCGCCAAGGTCTGACGCAGTGGCTCCATTCCGGCTCGGGCCGCCTGGCCCGGTTCGAGCCGCCTGCAGGGACAGAGTATGCCCGTGCCTTCGTGAAGCGACCAGAGAATGTCGCTGCGTCTCAGCCAGTGGAGCGCGGAATGCTGCTGGCACCCCTGGCACAAGCCACACTCTCATTGATGCCCTCCCCTCTGAGCCACCTGCCACCCCACCTGCAGCACTTCCAGGGCAAGGGGCAGGCTCTCGCCCACGTCGCCCTGACCCAGGGTGGCCAGGAGGGAGCCGCGGGCCCATGCCGCCCATTCACCCTTTCCTTTCGGGTCCCTGGGCGCCAGCCAGGCGGCCACCCAGTCCTCGGCGCCCTCGTCGTCGCACAGCTCGGCGGCAAAGGCGGCGACCCAGGGCAGCTCCCCGTACCGCCGCGCGAGGTCGGCGAGGCGGCGCGGCGCGGCGCGCCCAGCCCCGCCCCTCCCCGCCCGCGCCAGCAGCGAGCGCACCCCGCCCGGGTCGTCCGCGTAAGGCAGCGCACAGCCCGTGCCCTGCACCCACACGTACCGCCGGCGGTACAGCGCGCGCAGCGCGGCGCCGGCCAGGCTCTGCCGGTGGTACCGCGGGCCGTCCACGCGCAGCTCGGCCACCCGGGAGCCCGCCGGCAGCAGGCCCGGGGCAACGAGGGCGTGCCGAGGCGGCGAGATGTGCCCCCCGGCGCCGCCCTTTCCAGCCAGCTGCGCGTCCAGGAGCTGGAGGGTGGGGGTGCCCAGCGCCGTGGCGCCGGTGCCTTTCTCTTCTCCGGCCAGCGTGAGGGTCAGGGGCACATAGACCGGGACCCCGGAGCGCACGTCCAGCGCATTCAGGCAGCGTGGCTCGGCGGCCATCGCGTACAGGTGCCGCAACGCCTGGGATGAGAAGGGGATTGGAGGGGGGAGCAAAGGACCAGTGGATGCAAAGGCGGGGGGGGGGGGAAGGAGTCATGCCTGGGCGGCTTAGCAGGGGGCAGCAGGGATGCATCATCGTGCGGGTGGCACAAGGAGGGTGCTGCGAGCACGGGCATCATGCCCGCCAGCCTTCCTCCTGACAGTCCACACCCGGTGCCCGAGCAAGCAACCAACACCCTCCTCCCCTCCAAACCCCTCCGAGACCTGGTGGGAGGCGCGCTGGTCCTGACTCGAGAGGGGGAATGGCGGCAGCACAGCGCAGAGCAGAGAGGCCACGGCCAGCGGTCGCGTGCCAAAGGTCAGCCGCCCCTGGCCCAGGAAAAGGAAGCCCAGGGCCATGCCGACGGCGGTGTGCGCCCCGTAGGTCAGGCTGGAGCTCGGCGCGCGGGTGGGGCCGGGGGGAAGGGCGTTCGAAGGGGAGTGGGGGGCAGAGCGCAGCGACAGACCTGCAATGTGCTTGTGGCGGTGGTGGTGGGTGCATGCCAGGTGAGGCATGGAGGTGCATGCAGGGGTCAGCTACCCCAGGCTGCAGGCATGAGTCTTGTCAGGGCGATGCAGCAGGAGGATACATGATTGATGTGGAGCGTTAGAGTCCCTGCACCTCCGCTTGGCTGCTTGGCTGGTGCGGCGACGAGTCTCTTGATGATACATGCACGGGGCTCGCAGGGTAGACCCACCCATTTGCTCTTGAGCACCCAGGAGTCCTTGGATCTCATCCCGCCACACCCCTCACCCCTGAGGAGGCCCAGGGTGGCCGAGTGCCCGCTCCCAGCCATGACGATAGCCAAAGAAAGCGCGAGCACATCCACGGCCTCCTCCACGTGCACGCGCCCGAGCGCCCAGCCCTGGCGATCGGGGTTCAGCTCCGGGATGGCGGCCTTGAGGCGCAGCAGGCCCTCCAGCCTGGAGCGCAAGAGGCCGGCGGCAGCCGCGCTGCAGCTGCCGGCGTGGCGCAGGCCGACGGCGAGGCACGCGCCCGCGATGCAGGAGATGTGTGCCTGTCGTGCGTGATGGGTGCGGGGGGGTGACAGGCAGAGGTGCGATGGCTCTTCACAGAACATGAGCACAGCATCCACTTTTGTGTGAGAGGAACTGGCCCTCATGACATGATCCAGCAATATGTCCAGCCACTCTTCGAGCACTCCAGCATGGCTTGAACTGTTCTACTGCACCCATTCGCGCACCCACCATTCTCCCGCGCACATTCAACCGAGTTTTGCGATTCCCTCGTCCAACACACCTGACACACAGCCTCCGCATCCTCCTTCCTGCGTCGGGCGGCCCGCCCCACCCCCAGCATCTTGCTGGTGTCAAACTGATGGTTGGGAGGCGCGAGGGTTTGTTGCAAGGAGTGCATACGACATGTCGCACTCACCACCATCAAAGTCCAGCGCATGACTGCTTGCAGGCATTCGCAATCTCCCCAGCCACACCTGCAAGATGCGCGGCAACTGCTGCATCACCCAGTCCTCGGCAGGAGTGATGCCGGACCACATGACCAGGGCACGCATGGCCACCCGCAGCAAGAGGTGCTGCGGTCTCACAAAGTCCAGCTCGAACAGCGACTCTGTGGTGAGGTTTGGGCCAGTGGATCTGCGTCACCCAAGGGTAAGCATTGAATAGGCCAGGGCCATGCTATACAACATGAGTAGATCACCTTGTGAAGCTTGCAATGCGTCTTGATCTCCCCCCCTGGCTCGTGCAAGCATTCCACTTGCAGCTGACCAGATTCCGGATCCACTGACACAATGCGTCACCAATCTCTTTCCACGTCCCCTCCACCTGGCATGGCAAAGCGCGCGGCCGCGGCGGCGTCGTCGGTCTGCAGGTGGGCCAGTCCCAGCGCCAGGGTTGCCGCCGGGCAGCTGGTGCCCAGATCCAGCAGACCCCCTTCCATCACCGTCAGCGGCGAGGCCTGAGCCGCGGCGATGTCGGCGGCCACGCTCCCCCCCGCCTGGCGCTGCGCGCCGCCTGCCCGGCCCTGCGCCGCCGGCGCCGAGACTTGGGCCTGGAAGAGGTCGGGAGCGACGCCGAGCTCCGCGCCGGGCGCCTGGGGCTTGCCAGGCCTGCGCCGGCCCACGGTGCCTTCCCTCATCCCCCCAAGCATCAGCCGACTGGCGTGAAGGGGAAGGTGGATGGGAAAGGGGTGGAGCTGGGGGGCGGGCGGATGTGCATCATGTGGCACGCGAGGCTGCGCTGCCTGAGAGGGCAGCGAAGCCCATTCCGTCAAGGACAGACACTCACCCCCCAGCTCCACCCCACGCACGCAAGCATGCATGCGCACCAGAGGCGGGTGTCCAGGTCCAGCTCAGCGTGACCAAGCGCCTGCGTGCCCTTGCTCAGGTGGATGAGTCCCAGGGCCAGGCCGGCCGCCAGGCTGTATGCCTCTCGGTCCTGCGGTCGAAAGAAAGGGGGGAAGGGGGTTGTGGGGGATGAAACATCGGAGACGCCCTGCACACATGCTAGAGCAGGCCTGACTGCAGAGTGAGCCGCAGACGCTGTTGCCCCGAGCAGCGAACAGACATTAACTCGTGGTAGGAATGATTAAGAACTGGATCTCAGAATCGACGGTGATGGCAGACGGCATTGCCGATGCTCAAAGGCAGCCACCCAGCTCCCCGGCTCACTTGACACAGGCACCAGAGCCCCCATTCACTCCCTCACCTCGCTCCTGCGCTGGGTGTGGGGGCGCTCGGCGCCCTCTGGCTGGGGGCCGGCCGCATCCACCGCGCCCATGGGCCGCTCCAGCTCCGCCATCACCACCTCCGACATCACCCTGTCAGGTCCGGGAGGGATGGGGAGTTGCAGAACGATGCGCCGGGGAAACTGATGCGGCCACTCGTGGGGCCTGCGCTCCCAGGGCGGTGCCACGGCTGCTCATGCCCCGACCAGCTGGCCGTTGCCCTCGCGATTGCAATCCCTCGGCTGGTATGGTATGGAGGCACACCCCACCCACCCCACAGCGGCCCCCGGCACCGCCTGCCACACCCTGACACGCGCCTGTGGCAGGAGCCAAGGTGCACCAGGCCCAGGCCGATGAGCGCTGCGCCCTGCACCGAGGCCGGGATCTCCAGGTCCGGGTAGGTGCTGGGGTGGCGGCTGGGGAGGTGGAGCAGCAGCATCTTGGACACCGCAGCGTCGCGCAGGCCGCGCCTGGAGGCGGCCATGCCCAGGAGCACTGCCAGGATGGTGGCTTCGTGCCCCTGGGCCAGGTAGCGGTACAGGTCGGTGGCCGCCAGGCAGCCCAGGTGCCCCGCGACGCCCAGGCCCAGCAGCAGGCCGGCGTGGGAGTAGGAGGGCGCGGGCGGGTTGTGGTAGGCCACCCAGGTGCGGCCCAGGGCCCCCGCCGGGCCCGCGGCGGGCACGAGGCTCAGCCCCGCCGCCGCGCCGGCGTGGAACTCGGGCCACGCCGTCTCCGCGGCTGCGGCGCCGCCCCCGGGGGCCGGCGGCGCGGCGGACAGGTCCAGCCCCACCACCGCGCCGTTGCTGCCCAGCAGGCGTGCCGCGAGGCGCAGCGGCGCCACCTCCAGCGCCTCGGCGTGGGAGGGCCGGCGCGAGGCCAGCCCCGCCGCGCCGCGGCCGACGCACAGCGCTGCGGTGCGCGTCGCGGAGACGCGGATCCAGGCCTGCACGGCGGCGGAGGGGCCGCCCTCTGCGCCGGTGTCGTCGCCCGCGGCGTCGGCCGGCAGGTCGGCGGGGGCATCGGAGGACAGCAGGCGCGTCACCTCCTCCAGCCGCCGGTCCCTGCCGAAGCGCAGTAGCGGCCTTGGGGGCGGGGGGGTGGCGGTTTGGGGGTTCCCCATGCTCGCCGCCAGCCCGGCCTCGGTGGTCTCGATGGAGCCCTTAGCTCCCGGCCTGGCCTCGACGCGGGCATGGAGGGGGAGGACTGCGGGGTCGCAGGCGCCCCCGACGCGGCCCCTGCCCTCTCCCGGGAAGTCGTCGAGCGCCCCTGCGTCCGCCTTTGCACCCGCTGTCGCCGCATGGTTGGCCGCAGCGTCCAGCCGCCCTGGAGAGGTGTGGATGAGGGAAGTTTGTGGGTTAAAGGGCTGGACAGACACGGTCCTCATCTCCTCCAGGAGCACAACAGGTCCACCACTGCCTCAGAGAGGGTCATTTCATGAGAGGGCATGGTCAGCCCCTGCACGGCGTGGGCTTGCTCAATCCAGGACACGCTCCAGCACAGAAGGCGTGCTCCCGCATCAGCCCCCCTTGGCTCAAAACTTGTCGATCAATCCACCCTGACCTCCTCCCACACCCAGCGCACCTATGAGGGTCAGGGCTGCGGGGTCCCAGCCCTGGTGCAGGGACATGACGCGGCAGATGCGCGCCGCCTGGAGGAGGGGCAGCCGCACCTCCAGGCGCAGCTCCTGGAGCCGCGCCGGGGTCCAGCCGCGAGCGCCCAGGGTCCCCATGGCCCGCGCGCACGCGGCCGCCAGGACCTCCCGCGGCCCTTGCGCGGGCGCGGTGGCCCCTGGCGGCCCGGTCAGAGACGCCGCGGACCCCAGGGCGAGGTAGGCATCCAGGACATCCACGCTGGCAGCCACGCTGCGGCTGCGACGCTGGACGAGCACGGGAGCCGGGAACGACGGAGTCCCCGCCCGCGAGCCGTCGACTCCGTCCAGGGCCGCCGCCAGCGCGGCTGCCAGCGAACCCGGCACCGGTGGGGGGAGGCTGCTTTGTTCGGCCAGGGCGCGCGCGGCCGCGTGCAGGCGGGGCGCGGCACGTGCGCGCAGCGTGCACAGCGCGCAGTCCTCCGCCACGGCGTGCAGGGCGTCCACCAGGGCGCCGGCGAGGGCCGTGGTCTGCGCGCTGGGAGGGGTGTCGTGTGCTGGGTGGATCGTCCCGCTGTCCCTAGGCTGAAGCGGAGCTATCGGCAGGCTGGCTTGCGCTGGGCCCGCCCATCGGCATCCAGGCGGTCCAGCCAGGGGGAGCGCCGGGGCCGGGACCAAGCCAGGGTGCCGGTGCGTTGGGGCGTCTGAAGCCCCGTCCCTTGGTCCCGCCGCGCGGCGCCCTCGGCGGGACGTGGTGCCGGCCAGGCGAGGGCGGCGCGGCACAGCGCCGCCAGCTCCTCGTCCGCGGTCCTGCCGGGGACTCTTGGACCTGTGGAGTGTGGGGCCGGTGGGTTTGTGGGCGGCGGGGTGGGCTTGTCGGGAGGAGTGGGAGGAGCATGGGCGGCGGCAAAAACCAGCTGGTTCGCGTTGCGTGGGGGAAGGAATCGCTGCAGTTCCCAGAGGAATGCGAGTCAACACTCGCATGGCCCTCCACCCTCTACACCCAAGCGCGACCCGAAAGGGTGGGCATTGACATGCATGGGCACCTCCCCTTCCCGTGCAGGCCCAATTCCCCCACGGCCCACACAGAATGCTGCTCCACCGCTCACCCAGGGCCTGCAGCCAGGTGGTCTGCAGCTCCAGCCCGGCGCCGTGGCCTGCGGCTTCAGCCACCGCCGCCAGCGCAGCGGCCACCGCCGGGCAGCTGGGGCGAAGGTGGAAGCTGACGCGCAGTCGTGTGCCGCCGTCCGTCGCCATCGTGACCTCGCATCCCGCCGGGTCAGCGATGGCAGTCACGCTGCGCCGACCAGATTGCCGCCCGGGCAGGCACAGCCGCGCCAGGTGGTGCCGGGGCCCGGCCAGCGCACGCAGCGCGCCCGTGCCTGGTTCCAGCACCAGCACGCAGCGCCGTGCGGGAGGAACGGATGAAGGATCGCCGCCGCGCAGCGCGTGCGGGGCGTCCTCCAGGGGTAGCGCCGTGAGGGCGGGGCGCTGGGTGGCTGTCGCGCCGCCGGGCCCCCGCAGCCCCGCCAGCATGGTGAGCGTGGCGCGGTGGGCGGAGTGCAGGCACAGAAGGGGGGCGACGCCGTCTGTGTCGTGCGCCAGGAAGCAGGCAGAGGGGGAGGTGGGGGTGGAAGGGGTGTCCTCCCACACCAGGCGGCACTGGACTGGACTGGGGTGGTCCGCGCCGCCGCCCGCCACGTCCCCGGCCTGCCACGCCGGCGGGCGGTCCCTGCTTCCGGGGTTGAACGCTAGGGGAGACAAGTGGCCGTTGGCCAGTCGCATGGGGGCCCTGGGGGGTGGTTTTAAAGTGGGGGAATCAAAGTGAACATGGATCTGTGTATGTGTGAGTGCTGGCGCCTGGGTCATCAGGGTCAGGCGCCCGACATCGACGAACCGCGCGCGATCGAGATACGCGGAACCATCGCCCTAATGGCTGGTCCAGGACCCAGGACGATGGAAGAATCGATGCCAGAATCATTGTTTGTATTTGTATCTCGATCGATATGTCGAGCGATCTGGACGCCCGCTTCAAGAAGGCCGTGTGGCTGATCCGGAATGGGCCTCCCAGGCCCGGCACCACCAACGACACCAAGTTGGCGTACTACGCCCACTTCAAGCAGGCCACGGAGGGGGATGTGAGGGGCGACCAACCCTGGGCCGTCCAGTTCGAGGCCAGGGCCAAGTACGACGCCTGGGCCAAACTGAAGGGCATGAGCGGCGACGAGGCCAAAGCCAAGTACATTGCGCTGCTGGAGGAAGGTGAGCTGGATGGTGCCAGGGCGGGTCGGTGTGCGAGGGTTGGAGAGGGCTGCTGGGTCTCCCATTCAGGGCGTTGGTGTTGTGCGGGCCGGCCGCTTCCAGCCGTCCCCTGTCGCTCCTTCCCCACAACAATCTGCATAAACACTGCCCCAACTCCCATGACCAGGGGATGCTGCATGGGAGAACCATCTCGCACTCAAGGACTACCCAGATCCGTGACCGAGCCCACCACCACGCTCAACTTCCCATCACTGCCTGGCACCCAATGTGCCCACCTGTGGGTCGAGGGGGTGCCGGCAGCGGTGTTCGGCATGGCCGAGGTCAGAGCGGCGGGACAGGGCAGGAAACCCTCCGGGGTCCTGCAGGGCGTGGCTCCTCTGCCGGCTGGTTGCTCCTGGTCTCCGACCAACTCCCAGACCGCCGCTCTCCCCTGTGTGTGAGGCATTCATGTGACCGTTCTCTGTGGGTTTGAGCAAATGTCATTGTAACCTTTTGCACCCCGGAGGGAGACCCTCGACAGTCTAGGTCATGGGCGGCCGCACCAGCTTGCCTGCCAAGAGCAAGAGTCAAGAATCGCACGATTCGAGCCAAGTCATGCCCATGAACACCTCCCAAACACCCCTGCACCCCAGCGGCGTCACAATCCCTGCCTGGGAATCGGAGGTTACGATCCAGTGGCACTCGTGGGTCGCCCAGAGGATGTCGTGGCCGGTTCCAGGCACAAGGACAGTCCTGGGAACATCCAGGGGGTGCTCCAGGAGGAGCGGGGGGTGCGCCTCCTTGTCCTGCACACACTGGGAGGATGGAACCTTACATGACTTCATTTCTGGTATGCAGGGCAGACACCGCTCTCCCAGCATTAGATCACAACACGCAGCAGCGGCTCGGCCTGCCTCAACCTCAACTCACTCCGAGGAGCAGCAGGCCCAGGGGTGTGGGAAATACGGTCGTGTAGCCATGGGGGAGGGGCACTCGATGCTCTTCGCTGTCCAGGGAGTATAGGCTGAGCTGCGCTCTGGCGCACAGCAGCGCCAGCCAGGGGCGTGGGTGGGGCTCCAGATAAGGGAAGATGCACCATGTGGCATCGATCAGAGGGGAGGGGCAGGTGTAGGCGCTGCTCAGGAGCCCGCCGATGCGCCACTCGGCCCTGCCCGAGCGTGCAAAGTGGGGACTGGGTGGTAGCATGGGATCAGGAGGGCAGAGGGCTGCAAAGGCCAGCGCCCCGTCTGGCCCCATGTGCTGCGTCCCACCTGTTTTCATCCAGGATCAAGTACCCATGGGAGACGTCCGGGATGGTGGATCGCACGATTCTCGCGCCAGGCGCGGGTTCCGACCAGGCTGGCACGAGTCTGCCTTCCACTGCCCCGGAACCCATCTGGCTCCGAGCAGCAGCAGCCTCCATACCGCGATCAAGACATGTAAAAGATTTTGATTCCGTGCAGCATCGCAATACGCTGGCTGGGCCAACCTTAGGAGCGTTCTGTGCGCATGGCCCATTGCTACCAATGTCCCGACAGCGCCCATTTGAAGAATCAGCCCTGCCGTGCATGCGTTGCATTCTCCCCAACGACGATCACACCTTGAACAGTACAGCAGGGCTGCATAGTAAACGTAGCATGTTGATAAGGATGTAATCAGGTCACTTCAATGTATGCTTGGACAGGTGGTCATGGGTGATGAGAGACATAGTGCTGCTCATCAAAATGTTCCTTGTTTAGGATAAAAAACAAGACGAGGTTGGGAAAGGCCAGTCCAGTCTCAATATCCTCCAGATAATAATCTTCTCAGGAGGTATGTGAGCTCAGATACCCCAAAGTTGGGTGGTGACTTGGCGTGAGCCTCAGTGTTCCAAAGGACCGTGACCTTGTGGAACAAACCCCAGATCGGAGCGCGCGCTAAGGAACGCTGTTCAGAGTACCCTTCTCCTTACTATGTGGAACCCCTGATCAGGCAGTGCTAATATATTATCTGGAGAAGTCTCCCCTGATAGTCGTGGAACATCGCGCACCTGCCTGCTCACCGAGTCGCTGCAGCACCTCGGTGCGATGGCGCAGGCCGTATCGCTGGAGGCCAAGGAGTTGTCCAGTATCAGCTTCCTCAAACAGCGTCCTAGGTATGCATGGAAGGCATAATACCTTATTTGCTCATGCTGGGTGCGAGTGTTCTAAATTGTGTTTGGGAGCGGCCGGGAGAGGGTCACCAAGGCGGAGCCGACAGGGCCAACCTGCGTGGCCAACCAGAAACAACCATGCACCGCCAGATGTCATCGCTGCTCACGAATCCACCGATCAAACTTTTGTGACCTCCCAAAGCAATCCCTTCCCTCGCACCATGCCATGACAGGAACGTGCGGCTGGACCTCTGGCCCTTTGTTTGTGCCTACGTCGCGTGGAGTGGATATGTGCTCTGGCGCCTGGTCACCATCGGGACCGAAGGGTTTTACCTCATTCAGCTTGCTACATATGCCCTCCTGGCCATACACGTGCGCCGGGCCAGGGAGGGGTGCCCCGAGGCTGGCGGCAGGGCTGGGACTGAGCGACTGAGCGGGGCGGCATGTGGGAGGGCACGAACGGCGCAGAGTCACGACCTCAAATCACTCCTCCCAACACCCTGATCCCCACAGGCCGTGACCTTCCTGTCCGGGGTCTGGAGCGTCGGCAGCCAGGCTCGCCTGCGCTTCCGGCCGGCGGGGTCCATCTCGCAGGCCACGCATGTGCTGGTCGTGCCGCATGCGTTTGTGGGGACACGGGACATTGTCCCCCTGGAGCAAAAGGCCGATGCGGTGAGAGTCAGGGCGCAAAGGGCGGTGGGACAGGTGGTTTGCACCGCGCATGTGACACATGCATGTGGCAGGTGGATGGCGATCCACCCCCTTTGCGCCCTGCACCTTGCCGATCTGGGACTTGGGGTCTGAGCACGCCGCGCTCCTTCCCCCCGCCAATCTCACGCGCTCACACACACACACACGCACCCCAGGCCGGCGTGCCGCGCTACGCTTTCTCCTTCCGCAAGCTGCGCTTCGTGCACAGCGCAGACACCGGCGCCTTCACCAAGCTCAAGTACCCCTCTCATGACACGGTGGGCGCCTACCTCGCCGCCACGGGCCTGGGCAGCGAGGCCGCCACGGCCGCCGCGCTGGAGCGGTGGGGCGACAACCGCTTCGAGGTGCCCGTGCCCAGCTTCGCGGCGCTGCTGGCCGACCAGCTCATGGCCCCCTTCTTCTGCTTCCAAGTCTTCTGTGTGGGCCTCTGGGCCCTGGACGAGTACTGGTCTGTGCGGGGCGGGGGTCGGTGGGGCCGAGGGGGGGAGGGACTGTGCTTCGCCGGGGCCCGCAGGGGGTCACAGGATGCCCGTCGCCATCGGATCATGCACTGCATCGCCACCGTCGCTGCTCCCCGCAGGTACTACTCCCTGTTCACCCTCTTCATGCTGGTGACCTTTGAGTGCACCGTGGTCGTGCAGCGGCTGAAGAACCTGAATGACGTCCGAGCCCTGCAGACACCCAAGGAGGTGGGGGAGGGGAGAGCCAGTGGGGATGGAGTGGAACGAGATGACCTCGTGATCTCGTCGCATGGGAGACCGCGCTGGTGTTGGGCTTGCTGAGGACTGCTGAGCCACGAGGGGACCTGAGGACAGCAAGTTTGAGCATCCGTGCTGGCTGTAGTGCTCCGCGCATCGCTGGGACTGCTTGTGCACTGCCCATCCCCCATCCCCTCCCAGGCGCTCAGCGTGTACCGAGGGGGCAAGTGGGCCAAGATCCCGGGGGACAGCCTGCTCCCCGGCGACGTGGTTTCCATGCTGCGGGACGGTGGGTCGGCAGCTACGAGGCAGCTGGTGCTGCGTGCGGTGACCATCGAACTTGATGTGAGAAAGCCTAGGGTAAGCATGAATATCTTCCCCCCTTCCCCCCTCTGCGTGCCCTGCAGACAGCGGGAACGACCTGGTGGTGCAGGCCGACATGCTGCTGCTGGCCGGAAGCTGCATCGTGGACGAGGCGGTTCTCACCGGGGAGAGCACGCCGCAGTGGAAGAGCGCCATCGACGAGAACGACGAGGGAGGCGCCGAGGCTCGGTGAGGGCCCAGTGTGGTTGTGTGTGGGGGGGATGATGAGATATTCTGGTGTGGTGGAGTCTGAAGGGAGAGTGGATCCTGCATGTGATGCTCAGGCAGTACTGGTATTATTGCACCTGCCACGAAGTTTGGCGCTTACCCCAGCCCCAGCCTCCCAGTCCCACATCATGTCCCCCCTTTTCTCACCGCCAAAGGCTGTCCATCAAGCGGGACAAGGCGCACGTGTTGTTCGGCGGGACCAAGATCCTGCAGACCACGGGCGAGCGGGCCGCCAGGCTGAAGACGCCCGACAACGGCTGCCTGGCCGTCGTGCTCCGAACCGGCTTTGGCACCGCCCAGGGTGCGTGTAGTTTAGAGAAATGGCAGTTGGTGTGGGAGGGGAACTACTGCCAGTCTGGCTGCCTGGCGCGCCTCATGGGCAGGATTGCTTCAGCGTCCCAAATATGCAGCACTGGAGATGCTTCCCCACCCTTTCACCGGTCGCACTCTCCTCCCACCTAGGCCGGCTGATGCGCACGATCCTGTACTCCACCGAGAAGGTGTCGGCCAACAATGTGGAGACCTTCCTCTTCATCGCCTTCCTCCTCGTCTGGGCCATCGCCGCCTCCGGCTACGTCCTGTACTACGGCCTGGCGGTGCGCACTGCTGTGGCGCTTGATTGTTGATGGGGTGCTGAGGCTGGGTGATGTGAGTGCAGGGCAATCTCATAGGGGCCTCTTGGTGATCAGCTTCTCCCACCGGCGTACACCAATATACACCCAAACCCCTGCACTGAGCCGCACAGGACCCCAACCGGGATCGGTTCAAGCTGGTCCTGAACTGCATCATGATCCTGACCTCGGTGGTGCCCCCCGAGTTGCCCATGGAGCTTACCATCGCCGGTGTGTGTGTGTGTGTGTGGGGGGGGGGGTGGGCTGCAAATGTGGAAAAACAGAAGGAAATTGGGCATTTGAAGCACGGAAACGCGTGCGTGAGCAACTGCTCTTGTGGTCTTCCGGTCCCCAAGAACGCCCAGCCGTGTCTATTTTCCAGGGCCCAAAGCTCACACCTGAGCTCGCTTCATCCCCTCCCTCCTCCCATCCACCCCCCTCCCATCGCAGTGAACGCCTCGTTGCTGGCGCTGTCACGGCTGCGCATCTTCTGCACCGAGCCCTTCCGCATCCCGTTGGCGGGCAAGGTCACCACCTGCTGCTTCGACAAGACGGGGACCCTGACCAGCGACCACTTTGTGCTGGAGGGAGTCGTCGGCTGCGGCGCGCCCGAGGGGGGCCCCGAGCCGGAGGCAGGCGCGCTCCAAGATGCCAAGTCCCTGCCCAGGGCCACCGCCCGCGTACTGGCAGCCTGCCAGTCCCTGGTGCAGGTGAGGGAGTGGAGAATGGGATATTTAGGAAACTCTGAACGAGGGACGGGTTGACATTCAATATCCCCATGGCCTTTCAAGCTGAGATCGAGGAGTCTTTGCCCAACAGGTTGCCAGCAAGAAGCACCCTGCATGGGTGGGCATGCATGCTTACCCTCCTGTGCCCTCCCGGCCAGCCCAGCCCAGCCATGCTCAGGCACCAACCCTGCCGTGCCTTGCCACAGGTGGACAAGGAGACCATCGGCGACCCGCTGGAGAAGGTCGCCCTGGAGGCAGTTGGTGAGTCGGGACTGTTGGCCGGCACCTGCATTGCCAAATCTCTGCGCCATGTGCCGATGTGCTATCCCTGCCACCTTGGCGTCTCTGGCACATTCATTGTGCATAATCTCATCGATCAGTCTCCCTTGCCATCTCAACTCGTCCCCAACCACCGAAGGCTGGACCACGCTGGGCCAGCAGGGCGTGCGGTCCAAGGACGGGGGACCCAGGGAGACGGTCGAGATCGTGCATCGGTACGCTTTCTCCAGCACCCTCAAGCGCATGAGCACCCTTGTGGCCGTCGAGCCCGAGGGCGCCACCGCGACCAAGAGGTGAGCTTGACTTGTTTTGGATGGGGTTTAAGGATGGGGATTGGCTGCCTGACATGTCGATAGGCAAATGGCCGGCTGGGACAGGGTTTCCCTGCAACGCCATCGCCCACTCCTTGTTCACGGTCATGGGAACTGTGAAACTCTACGTCTGCATGTGTTCATTAACATACAAGCAGATTGTCCTGCCTGTTTCGAGCTCCCACCCCCCCCCTCGTGCATCCCAAACCTAAAAATACCTACTACCAACACACCCCTGTCGTGCAGCCACTGGGTGCTGACCAAGGGCGCGCCCGAGGTCATCCGCGGCGACCTGGCTGCAGTGCCACCGCAGTACGACGCGACGCACCGCCGCTTCGCGGCGCAGGGCGCGCGCGTGCTGGCGCTGGCCTGCCGCCGCCTGCCCGCCGGCCTGGCGGCGGCCGACCTGCGTGCGCTGCCGCGGGAGCGCGCCGAGGCCGGGCTGGACTTTGCCGGCTTCGCAGTGTTCCGCAGCCCACTGAAGCCGGAGAGCGAGCCGACGCTGGGCGCGCTGCGCGCCTCGGGCCACCAGCTGGTCATGATCACGGGGGACGCGCCACTGACGGCCTGCCACGTGGCGGCGGCCGTACACATCGTGGTGCGCCCTGCCCTGGTGCTCCAGGCGCCGGCGCCGGGCACGGGACGGGGGCGCAAGGGTGGCGAGGGGGGTGCCGCGGCCGGCGGCGACGCCGCCGACTCCGCCCTGCTCGCCACGCCGCCCCTGGAGTGGGTCAGCCCCGACGAGTCTCTGCGCCTGCCGTTTGACCCCGCTCTGGAGGCCGCCGCGGCGCTGGCGGCCGACCACGATCTGTGTCTGACCGGCGACGCGCTGGCGGCACTGGCGGCCACGGGCGCCGCCCCCGCCTACGTCCCCTTGACCTCCGTCTTCGCACGCGTGACGCCCGACCAGAAGGAGCTGGTTGTCAAGATCCTGCGTGGCGCTGGCCTGGGCGTGCTCATGTGCGGCGATGGGACCAACGACGTAGGGGCGCTTCGCGGTGCGCACGTGGGCGTGGCCTTGCTGGCGCCGCCGGAAAAGAAGAAGAAGCGGGGCGATGAGAAGAAGCGGGGCGACGACAAGAAGCGGGGCGAGGACAAGAAGGGGAGCAGGGCCTTGGCAGCAACGGCGGGGGCTCCATCGTCGGGTCCGGTCGCCGCACCAGCCGCGCCGGGTGCACCATCTCCACCCACCGCCCCCGCGCCGCCGCCCGGCCCGGGGGCCAAGATGCTGGAGGACATGGCGAAGAAGGGGCGGCCCATCACGCCCTTCATGCGCCGCATGGCAAAAGCCATGGACGATATGGCGGCTGCGCAGGCCGGGGCGGGGGACGAGGTGGCCATGGTCAAGCCGGGGGACGCGAGCATGGCCTCGCCCTTCACCGCCAAGCAGGGCAGCGTGGCGCCCTGCCTGGACATCCTGCGCCAGGGGCGGTGCACCCTGGTGACCACCATGCAGATGTTCAAGATCCTGGGCCTGCTCTGCCTCTCCTCTGCCTACTCCCTCTCCGTCATGTACATGGACGGCATCAAGCTGGGCGACATGCAGGTGGGTGGTTGAGGGTTGATTGTTTTTGAGGGCTCAGAGGTACGTAAACGTCCCTCGAAGTTGCCAAATGTGTGTGTGTTGTTGATGGGCAGTGTGGCTGTGTGCGTGGGGGGTTAGCGAGGTTCAGAGAACCTTTGCCCGCGACTCAGTACGGCAGAAGCTCTGCCCTCAGGGGCCGTGCAAGGGTCCCTACAAATGAATGCGCCTCTTGTCACTCCTCCTCCATCGTCTTCTCCTGCATGGTCGCCTTGTTCTCCAACACCCTGCACTCACCCCACCCGCCAGGCCACGCTGGCAGGCGTGCTGACGGCGGGCATGTTCTTCTTCATTTCCCACGCCAAGCCTCTGGCGACGCTGTCGCGCCAGCGCCCGCACGCGCGCGTCTTCAGCGCCTACACCCTGGTGAGCCTGCTGGGCCAGTTCGCGGTGCACATCTCCTTCCTCATGTTCATGCAGAGGACGGCGCACGCCATGATGCCGCGGGTGAGTGAGTGGGGCGGGGAATGGAGGCTGGGGTTGCACGGGGCAGTTAGGAAGAATGTCGTTTGAGGAGCGGGGAACGCGAATGAGGCAGGTTTGGGACCATCGGCGTATGGCCGGGTGGGGTCCAATGGTTGAGCCAGCGTATCGAGGGTCCCACAGACTTGCATTTCCCACATGCCAGGCAGAGATCTCCCTTATTGACACCACACAGGAGGAGAGGCAGGAGCCAGACTCGGAGTTCAAGCCCAACCTGATCAACACCATCTGCTTCCTGGTCAACTTCTCCATCCAGGCGGGTGCCCATGGTTGCTGCTCTGGTCTCTGATCAAGATGGACTCTGGCGGGGCAGAGCGTTATGAGGCCCAGATTGCAAAGTTGCACCCACCCCATCACGTCCCCGCCGTCCCACCCCTGCAGACGATGACCTTTGCAGTCAACTACGTGGGCGCGCCCTTCAACACGCCACTCCAGGAGAATCGCTTCTTCGCCCTGTCGGTCAACTGGAGCACGCTGGCCTATGTCCTGCTGGTGCTGGACCTGCCGAGGGGTGAGCAGGTTGCAAGCGCGTGTATGACGCATGGGGCGGCGCATCCGCAGGCCCAATGCAGGGCCACTTTCCTACAGCATCAAGATGAAAGGAGACCCTGGCTGGATGAGCCATTGGAGGGTATCCACTCCCCCCTCAACCCCACACATGCACATGCACGCAGGGCTGAGGACCTGGTTCTCCCTGGTGGCCATCCCCGCAGAGATGCAGGGCCAGCTGCTGGTGCTGGGCGGCTTGGCCTACCTGGCGGCGGGGACGATAGAAAGGATGGCGCGGGCGATGTTCCCTGCCCCCCTGGTGCCGGAGAAGGGGGGCCTGCACCGGTCCAGGACCCCCATGGGTCCCAGGAAGAAGCAGCAGTGACGCGTGTGGTGCGCAGAGCCTTGCCGAGGGGAGCTGAACGCGCGGCAGGCACCTCGGACTGTGATTATGTGGGGCGACATGCCGGCACTGGATCCACCCCCCCGAGGGGCCGTCCAATGCAGAAATTCGCTCATCGAGCGCGCTGGCTTGGTCCTTTGCGCAAGGAGATGCTCCTCAGGCCAATTCCGCACGCCAAAGTCATGATGCCACTGATGTGATCACGCCTACATATACAACTCGAGGAGTGGTTGGAGGTCCGTGAGGTGCCCATTCCAATCTGAGGGGTCCGGCGGTCTCGACCTTCCTCTGGCCTGCTAGATGCAAGCAAGTTGGGCGTCATAGAGTTAGAGGTTTATAATTGTGGCCCGCTGCATCGCCGCCAGAGCATGCGGACCGTGCATCGGCTACCATCGCGTTATAGCCGGTGAGGGGCCAGGCCAGGGACCGTTCCCAGGGATGCAGGCCTTGGGACCTCTATTACAATTACCCCCCCGGCTCGATTATGCTCCACAGGTGACGCTGCCTGCTGTCCCTGCCTGGGGAGGGCCTGCGGGGATCCCGCGGCAGGCTGCTTGAGGCGGTGAGGGTGGCCCATGGAACCACAGCCTCCCCCGCCAGGGAAGACACCGTCGTCCCTCCCAGAGGCGCACGTCTCCCCCACCAAGCCTCAAGTGATAAAAAAGGGCGGATTTAAGCTCAACATCCCCATCAGGCAGAAGACTCCTCAGAAAGGGTGAGCTCGGTGTGCATGATGGGGTTGGCGCTCCGCCCTTCGGGCACCCTCCTTGCCTTTCGACGCTGGACTGGGCGCCATCGCAGGCTCCCACATCCCCGATTCTGTCCTCGCATGTGATCCAGGAGCGCCAGGAAGCCTTCAGATGCCGTCCCTGCCCGAGCTGCGGCGCGGGCGTCAGCTGCAGGTATGGACCTCCCCTCGGCGCCGGCCCAGCCGAGTGGAGTCGAACCTCCTGCACCTGCAAGCGTCGCCCAGCCCGCAGCAACCCCGCCGCCCCAGCCCCAGCCGACGCAGCCCGCAGCAACCAGGCTGCCCCGGACTGCGCCGGCGCGGCCCGATGCAGCTCGGGACTCGGTGACCCCACCCGGCTTCCCGCCCGGCTGGGAATGCGTGAGCCAGTCCTCGGCGGCCAGGTCGGCGCCTACCCGCGCAGCGGCCGCCGCCCCAGACACGGGCCCTCCCAGCCTCCCACCCGGCATGGCCCCTGCAAGGGACGGCGCTCGGCCCGCGCAAGTCGAGTCGGGGCTCCCGCGCTCCAGCCGCCGCAGCGGGAGCCGGTCGCCTGTGGGAGGGTCGAGGTCATGCTCCATGGACAGGAGCCAATTGGAGGCGGCGCGGAGCCACGACCGCAGCAGGAGCCGCGATGACCGACGCAGAGACTCTGGGCGGGGGGGGGACCAGGATCCATCGCGATCCCCCGATCAGCGTCGGCACAGTGGTCGCTCGCGCTCCCCCGATCGTCGGGGGTGCGAACGACGCCCGTCGCCCAGGAGGAGCAGCGAGCGGGGCAGGAGCGAGCGAGGCGACCGCTACGGCAGGTCCAGCCAGATGCGGTGGGTGCCGAGGAATGGGCGAGGCTTGGAGGGTTGGCGCTGGCTGGCACTGTCATCTATGGCCACCTCCCTTGCCACACACTCAGAGGCACCATAAGCTAGAAGGCAGTACCCAGAACTTGGGGCCGGGGGGTTCTGGCAGGACGTGCCTTGGGCCGAGTTGCACCAGCCGGCCTGGGCTCCACATGCACCTCCCATGAACCCTCACCAAGGTTAGAGCCCTGGCTACTCGCAGGTCGCGGTCTCGCAGCAGGAGCCCGTACCATCGTCGGAGCACGCCCAAGAGGGATCGGTCGCGCAGCGGTGGCCGCAGCGAGGGCCGGCGGCGCGACGACCCGGCACCCTCCCGACGGCGCGGCGACGTGCCCCCTGCACGGCGGCAGCGGGAACCCTCGTCTGGGCGGGACCGGGGGTATCGAGACCGGTCCCCGGACAGGCGGCCAGACAGGGCCGAGGCGCAAAACCAGGCCTCAGCTCCTCGCGAACACTCCTCGGTTTCCCGTGGCGCAGACAGGCTGCTGGCACGGGCGCCGACGATTGTGCACCGAGACCCTGCCGCGGTGGAGCGCCGGGCAGGCCCCCACCGGACAGATCGAGGGGAGCCGGCGCGGCGGCCAGAGGAGCCGCGGCGGGATCGCGCCGCCCCCCCGGCCAGGCATGCTTCCCCCGAAGACCCCGTGTTCCTGCCCCCGTTGCCGCGCGCCGAGAATGAAGCGGCGGAGGGCCCCTCTCCCCCGAGCGCCAGACCTCTGAGGGAATGGGGGCCCAAAGCAGCAGCCTACTCTGGGCACCCCAGGCATCCGGGTGAGGAGATGTCCAGGGCGACTTCGGCGCTCCTCGCACCGCCCTCCCCTCGTGTGGACAACAGGTGACATGGATGGCTGGGTACATGGATGGCTGGGTACATGTATTGCCGTGGCCTACTGCGCCATGATGGCATGCCATGGGGCTTGACAGCTCCAGGCGGCAGGTCATGGAGAGGCTTGATTGCGCCTTGGGCAGCCCTCTGCTGTCTGAGGCAGCCCAGGGCCACAATTGAGGGTTCTCAGGTGCAGCACTGGTTGACGAGGCACTCTTCCTTCACACACCACATCATCAGCACCCTTCCTTCACTCATGCCCGTCCCCTGCACATCCACCCCAGCCTGAAGAAGCTGTGCCAAGGACAGGGGCTGGAGTATGCCCGCGCCCCGGCGGCGCAGCTGGCGTCCATGCTCCTCGTGCTGAATGAGCGCCTCGCGGAGCAGAGTGCCGCGGAGAGCTGGGATGCGCAGGAGGAGGAGTGCCAGGCGCTGCTCCTCGCCGCGGGGCTCGTGGTCAAGGTGGGTGTGATTTTTTTTTTGGGGGGGGGTGGGGGGGAGGT